TGCCCTATGCCCCGCCCAAACTCCTCCGCGGACACGTACACCTCGTCCACCTTGCACGCTATGTAGATGGCTGTCAGCCTGCAGTGTGCATGGAGCGGTGTGAGAGAGCACGGGGTGGTGGTCAGGTTGAAAGTGTGACTTGTGAGTCGACTCAAATGTCCCCTCCGCTGACACGTACACCTCGTCCACCTTGCACGCTATGTAGATGGCTGTCAGCCTGTGGAGAGAGGGTGGGGGAAGGGAGAGAACAGATGGAATAACAGAAACCACGAAGGCTCTCAGCCATGCAAGCTCTAACCCTCACAACAAGCCCCCCCCACCCTGCCCTCTCATGAAGAACTGAATCCTTCCTTGGGCAGGGTGAGGGGGCTTCACGAATCCTTCCTTGGGGAGAACATGAAGCCCCCACCACCCAGAACTCACATGATGCTTTTAGGGTCGTACTCCATAACGGAGCACATGAGGAAGAAGCGCTTGAAGTACTGTAGCGAGGTGGACTGTAAGGGGTACAGATGGGCGGCAGGGGAAGACAGGAGGCACGAGAGGCAGTGCATTAGATGAGATGGGGAGTATGGTGCGAGATGATAGAGGCTCATCACGTGCAAGTTGCAACAGCACTGCTGCTGAAGGGTGTTTTTGAGAATTCTCAACAGCACTGCTGCTCTTGGAAACTAGCTTAAACTAACCACACAGACACTTTTAACAGAGTCTCTTGGGAACTAACCACAGCAAGTGTCTCTTGGACACTGTTACACACACTCAGCCTACCCTTTTACTTGGACCGCAGTGGCCCAGGCAGGCAGGCATGCACAAACTTCTTAGGAAGCAGAAAGCTTGCAACGCACGTAGATCTTGTAGGGGAAGCGGAACGCGGCGCAGACTTCTTGGATCTTGCCCTCGTAGTACCGACACATCACCCTCTCCTCCTCCTCACTCAATGGCTTCGGCCGCGGCACCTCCCCACCCGCCCCATCCGCTCCACTCCCCCCATTGCCCCCATTAGCCCCATTGCCCCCTCCTCCACTTTCCCCTATCCTTCCTTCTCCTGCTTCTGAATGCCCTACCCCCGGATTGCCCTCCCCTTCCGCCCCTCTTCCTGCTGCTGCTGCTGCTGTGGTGTGGCCGTCAGCTGACGTGGCGGCGTCTGATTGCCCCCTGGTTTCAACCAGGGCGGGATTGGTCGACGGCTCCACCCTGCTGTGGCCGTGCTGGTGGGCATCGAGGGGAGCATGCAGAGCGCGTTGACCAGCGTTGACCAGCGTTGACCAGCGTTGACCAGCGTCGACCAGCGGTTGAGAAGAAGGGAATTCAAAAAAAAAGGGAGGGAATGGGAAGAGCAGCAGTTAATAGACCTCTCACGACTTTCAACCCATCCAGCCAGTCCGTTCACTCCCATTCCACGCCACCATCACTCCCATTCCACGCCACCATCACTCCCATTCCATGCCACCATCACTCCCATTCCATGCCACCATCACTCCCATTCCATGCCACCATCACTCCCATTCCATGCCACCATCACTCCCATTCCATGCCACCATCACTCCCATCCCACGCCACCATCACTCCCATTCCATGCCACCATCACTCCCATTCCATGCCACCATCACTCCCATTCCATGCCACCATCACTCCCATTCCATGCCACCATCACTCCCATTCCATGCCACCATCACTCCCATTCCATGCCACCATCACTCCCATTCCATGCCACCATCACTCCCATTCCATGCCACCATCACTCCCATCCCACGCCACCATCACTCCCATTCCATGCCACCATCACTCCCATTCCATGCCACCATCACTCCCATTCCATGCCACCATCACTCCCATTCCATGCCACCATCACTCCCATTCCATGCCACCATCACTCCCATTCCATGCCACCATCACTCCCATTCCATGCCACCATCACTCCCATTCCATGCCACCATCACTCCCATTCCATGCCACCATCACTCCCATTCCACGCCACCATCACTCCCATCCCACGCCACCATCACTCCCATTCCATGCCACCATCACTCCCATTCCATGCCACCATCACTCCCATTCCATGCCACCATCACTCCCATTCCATGCCACCATCACTCCCATTCCATGCCACCATCACTCCCATTCCATGCCACCATCACTCCCATCCCACGCCACCATCACTCCCATTCCATGCCACCATCACTCCCATTCCATGCCACCATCACTCCCATTCCATGCCACCATCACTCCCATTCCATGCCACCATCACTCCCATTCCATGCCACCATCACTCCCATTCCATGCCACCATCACTCCCATTCCATGCCACCATCACTCCCATTCCATGCCACCATCACTCCCATCCCACGCCACCATCACTCCCATTCCATGCCACCATCACTCCCATTCCATGCCACCATCACTCCCATTCCATGCCACCATCACTCCCATTCCATGCCACCATCACTCCCATTCCATGCCACCATCACTCCCATTCCATGCCACCATCACTCCCATTCCATGCCACCATCACTCCCATTCCATGCCACCATCACTCCCATTCCATGCCACCATCACTCCCATTCCATGCCACCATCACTCCCATTCCATGCCACCATCACTCCCATTCCATGCCACCATCACTCCCATTCCATGCCACCATCACTCCCATTCCATGCCACCATCACTCCCATTCCATGCCACCATCACTCCCATTCCATGCCACCATCACTCCCATTCCATGCCACCATCACTCCCATTCCATGCCACCATCACTCCCATTCCATGCCACCATCACTCCCATTCCATGCCACCATCACTCCCATTCCATGCCACCATCACTCCCATTCCATGCCACCATCACTCCCATTCCATGCCACCATCACTCCCATTCCATGCCACCATCACTCCCATTCCATGCCACCATCACTCCCATTCCATGCCACCATCACTCCCATTCCACGCCACCATCACTCCCATCCCACGCCACCATCACTCCCATTCCATGCCACCATCACTCCCATTCCATGCCACCATCACTCCCATTCCATGCCACCATCACTCCCATTCCATGCCACCATCACTCCCATTCCATGCCACCATCACTCCCATTCCATGCCACCATCACTCCCATTCCATGCCACCATCACTCCCATTCCATGCCACCATCACTCCCATTCCATGCCACCATCACTCCCATTCCATGCCACCATCACTCCCATTCCATGCCACCATCACTCCCATTCCATGCCACCATCACTCCCATTCCATGCCACCATCACTCCCATTCCATGCCACCATCACTCCCATTCCATGCCACCATCACTCCCATTCCATGCCACCATCACTCCCATTCCATGCCACCATCACTCCCATTCCATGCCACCATCACTCCCATTCCATGCCACCATCACTCCCATTCCACGCCACCATCACTCCCATCCCACGCCACCATCACTCCCATTCCATGCCACCATCACTCCCATTCCATGCCACCATCACTCCCATTCCATGCCACCATCACTCCCATTCCATGCCACCATCACTCCCATTCCATGCCACCATCACTCCCATTCCATGCCACCATCACTCCCATTCCATGCCACCATCACTCCCATTCCATGCCACCATCACTCCCATTCCATGCCACCATCACTCCCATTCCATGCCACCATCACTCCCATTCCATGCCACCATCACTCCCATTCCATGCCACCATCACTCCCATTCCATGCCACCATCACTCCCATTCCATGCCACCATCACTCCCATTCCATGCCACCATCACTCCCATTCCATGCCACCATCACTCCCATTCCATGCCACCATCACTCCCACACTCATATGCAATTGAGGTCGTGAGACACGTTCCAGCGAGCAGCAGCGTAGCACACCCTTTTCCAGCCTAAACCTTCACCTAAGCTGCTGCTCGCTGGAACATGTCTTACAATATGCAATTAAGGTGAACCAGGAACTCGATCATAGACCACATCTTTCACTCGCACACCCCTTTCCTTCGCGCACCCCTCCCCCTCGCGCGCACCTTGTGAATGGCATCGACGGCCCGCTGGTTGTTCTTGGCGCGCATCGTCGCCAGCTCAGCGGCGCGGAAGATCCAACGGCTGCAGTGGGTCGACGTGCACCACTCCGCCATGCGCGCCGCTCCGTCGGATGGTCTCCACTAGCCGTTAACTAGGATCCTGCATCCGGCTTTATAATCTCCACCGCTAGAAGCTACGCCAATAGAGGCTAGTCCACTAGAAGCTGTGTACTAAATTTTTCACTGCGGCAGCGGCTTGCTAAGACGTGAAGGACCTTGTAGGATCCTCCGGCGGTCGGCAATCTATGAGGCGCCTCAACAATGGGCAGCGACCGGTAACACAAAGCGGTTGGCTTTTGAGTCTAACTCAGCAGTTGCGGAAAAGGGTCATCTGCCGTGTGACGCTCAGCGCGCTTCACCCACGCGTGTGCCGCACGAATGGATGAGCGCGGCGAAGCAACGGGTCGCACGAAGGCAGCAGGTAAGGCGAGAATTCGGCAGGCTGGGTGTCAGGCAAGGCAAGGAATAGACCAATAGGGCGAGTTGAGTCGAATCTGCTGAGTGTAGGAGGAAGCAGAGGGATGAAGGCTGAGCTGCCCTGGTTGCGGCTGGCCATAGCAGGTCCGGGGATGGTTGTTGCAGACCGATGTGATCATGCGATATGCCGATGACGCGCTAAACACCGACGCGTTTCAGGCACGCAGGCTTTTTCACTTCTAACTGTATGGCCAACCCGCTACGGTATGCTTACAATCTTTGACTAATCCAGTACACAATGTGTGTCTATCCTCCCTTATCTAACTGGTCAAGTGGGAGAATCGGCGAGGACTGACTTGCCACATGATCTCTAAAGTCCACCTGCTTCTGCATCAATATGCTGCTAGTGACTAGCGAATCACTAGGAAGAAACTGCTGAGCTGAGGCATTGAGTAAAGGAATGGTGGCGATGAGGTAGGGAGTGTGATGTACTAAGGGGTGGTGATCAGAGGAGCAAGGTGATGGGGTTGGAGAGCAACGACTTGAACTCGCCCATCCATTGCGCTCCCACGGCTCCTGCAGCACCACAACCACAACCACAATGGAAGAGGGTGGAGCGGCAGAGAAGCAGCAGAAACGACACGGCACGTGGTCAGTTGCCAGGCAGAAACAACATGGTTGTTCAACCAACACACTCGTGCTTGTAAAAGCTCACTAGCAAAAGGCACCTTTCTCAAAACAAGACAGACAATGGAAAATTACAGCTTATGGCCACAGGCCCATCCACATGGCATCAGAGACCCACCCAAGGCATACCAACCAGGCACGACGTACCATCGACAACACGGTGGTCGCAGCTGAGAGTGACTGTGGCGAAGGGCTGCACTGCAAACTCCCCCTCTGCTGCGCCCGGCACCACCCTTTCTTGCGCTGCAGCGAACAGGCAGCCAGGGGGAGGACGGCGAGTGATTGATCAGGCAGTGAGCGGAAGACAGCGTGTGACTGTACAACACGTCGCATCAGTTGTCAGCTAATGTTGTGTGAGAGAGCAAGCACGGGGTGTGGATGAGAGGAGAGCATGTGCTCACCAGCGCCGATGGTGAGGAAGCACGACTGAGGGGGGTGGATGATGGCGGACAGAGACTTGAGCCCCGCTCCACTCACGTCTGACACCGTGAATGTCGCACCCTGTGAGCACAAACAAGACACGTGATGGGAGGGATGCTGAGACAGAATGCAGGGCCTCTCAGACTCTTGTTTGTTCCTAGCCAGCACGTCAGAGCTCTTGGATTATAATGCTCTTGGATTGTGATGCTCTTGGACTGTGGTGCTCTTGGATTGTGGTGCTTTTCCCCTGCATGTGCCATTCTCCCCACTATCAGGTGAGGAGAAGTCAGCATCTCTACGCCCAATTGTTGAATTTCTGATTCATTACGCATTGGGAAAGTCAGCTGGCACCAAGTCGCGGGTGCATGTTATCATGTTACAACGAAAAGGTTTCACAAACCTCGAGGTCAGCTTCGGAGAGGGTCTTCTCCGAGGCTGCAGTGGAGAGGCGGTGGATCTCCGAAGCTATCTCGGCCAGGCCCTTGGTGTTGGCGGCCTGCAGGGATGCAGGAGGAGCGCGTATGGCACAGGGGGCAGGGTGCAGGGTGGGTGGGGGACAGAGTGAGTGACAATGGTGCAGGGCATAGCAGCAGCACGTATGGTGCTGCAGGGCGTGTGAAGGGGCGGAGGACCGCAATGGTGTGAAGTTGACACAGAGGGAGGTAGGGAGGTGGAAAGGCATGGCATCACCTTGATGATGTGGCATTACCTTGATGACATGGCATTTCCATGATGACATGGCATTACCATGATGACGTGGCAGTACCATGAAGACGTGGCATTACCTTAATGACATTAATGACGTGGCCTCACCTTGATGACCGGGTACAGGGTGCCATCAGGCGTGGAGACAGCGATAGCCACGTTAACATCAGAGTACCTGCCATGCCATGCACACACATGTATGGCGGACGCGCATGAGTCACACATACGCATAGCCATGCAAGAGAAACACCAGTAGCCATGCACGACAAGACCATGAAGTCCTAGGCGCAGCATGCACGCATAGATGGACGCAAGGGGAATGGATGGAGACAGGCACACAGAGACAGGGTGAGCAGCAAGTGACAGAGAGTGCTCAGGGTGGGAAGAGTCGCTTATGAGAATAAGAGTGGCAGAGAGCAGAAAGTGACTCACTCGCGGATGAAGTCGCCACCCCATGAGCTGTTGCACGCAGGAACCTTCTTGGAAGCCAGCGCTGCTGCCTGACATGCGCAAGGAACGAACAAGAACGGGTTCAGGAAACAAAGATTGCGTGGGTAGATGAGAACGTGATCGGTACGTCAAGGGCTTTGAGGCGCTTGCGTAGCTGGATTGGGGAGATGGTATGGCGTGCGAATGGCAGCTGGCATGAGTGTGGCAGCACAGGACTATGTGTTGAGCCCTGATGGGAGCATGCATGAAACATGCACATGCACCCCACATGCAGCAAAGAATCAGGGTGATGAAGGTCATCAAGGTCTTACCTTGATGAGGAGGGCGGTTGAGGTGACCTGCACGTCAGATGCTGCATTCAGCTGCTCCAACACCCTGACCGATGCACGAGGAGAGGAAGAGGGTGGAAGAGAGCGGAAGGGAGAGGAAGAGAGCGTAAGAGAGAGGAAGGGAGAGGAAAAGAGAGGAAGAGAGAGGAAGAGTGATGCGACGCGGGAACAGCGATCGGTGAGTTGAGGCAGAAGGTGAGACGTTGATGGGGGAAGACGGGGAAAAAGAGGCTTCAAAACAGGATGGATATGTGTGCACGCATGAACGTAGGCAGATTTTCATAGATGTACATTTCACATGCGCACGCATGAGTGTGTATGTGCATCCGTGTGTGTTTGTGCATCCGTGTGTGTATGTGCATCCGTGTGTGTTTGTGCATCCGTGTGTGTTTGTGCATCCGTGTGTGTATGTGCATCCGTGTGTGTTTGTGCATCCGTGTGTGTATGTGCATCCGTGTGTGTATGTGCATCCGTGTGTGTATGTGCATCCGTGTGTCTTTGTGCATCTGTGTGTGTATGTGCATCCGTGTGTGTTTGTGCATCCGTGTGTGTATGTGCATCCGTGTGTGTTTGTGCATCCGTGTGTGTATGTGCATCCGTGTGTGTATGTGCATCCGTGTGTGTTTGTGCATCCGTGTGTGTATGTGCATCCGTGTGTGTATGTGCATCCGTGTGTGTATGTGCATCCGTGTGTGTTTGTGCATCCGTGTGCACGTGAGCGCGTGCGTGAGCATGGATGTGAGTGCATGAGCGTGCATGTGTGCATGAGCATGCATGTGTGCATGAGCGTGCATGTGTGCATGAGTGTGCTTGTGTGTGCGGGTGCATGCATGTGCGTGCATGTGCCAGTACACACATAGTGCATGAGCGTGTAAGAGCATGCTTTGATGAGAGTGCATGTGCACGGGACGCACTTGGCAGCAGCATCGAGGGGAGCATCAGCCGAGAGGTAGAAGTGCGGCACGGTCTGAATGGACAGCTGCATTTGCTCCGCCACTCGCTGCCACACATGAGAGGGAGAGGGGGGCGGGGGCAAGGGCCGGGGAAGGGGGGGAAGCATGAGCGTCAGCCGAGAGGTAAAAGTGTGGCACTGTTTGGATGGACAGCTGCATCTGCTCCGCCACTCGCTGTGACACATGAGAGGGAGAGGGGGGCGGGGGCAAGGGCCGGGGAAGGGGGGGAAGCATGAGCGTCAGCCGAGAGGTAAAAGTATGGCACGGTCTGAATGGACAGCTGCATCTGCTCCGCCACTCGCTGTGGAACACAAGGGGGAGAGTGGGAGGGGGCGAGAGGGAATGGGGAGGGGGGAAGAGGGAAGCGGGGAGGGGGAGGGAGAGGCAGGGAGGTGGGGGGGAGCATGAGCGTCATCAGAGAGGTCTAAGTGTGGCGCAGCCTGGATGGACAACTGCATCCAGGCCGCCACCCGCTGAGAACCAAGAGGAAGAGATGCAGTTGCAGTTGTCAGAGAGGCGGAGTGGTGAGATAGGCAGCAGACATGGAAAGACATATGGCTGACCCGGAAGCAGCAGAGAGAGCGCCGGCACTGGGAGCAGCAGCAGCAACAGGCGTAGCTGGGGGGCCCAGCAGCTGGGATGGAAGCTGCGAGGGGAGCACCAACGGCAGGTGCACGGCCTCACCTTCCTGAGCTCGTCCACACTGGCTGAGATGGCCGCTGCAGATGCAACAGCAGCGGAAGCAGCAGCAGCAGCAAAACCAGCACCGGCAGCAGCACCAGCAATAGAAGCAGCACCAGCACCAATGCCTACAACAGGTACACGGCCTCACCTTCCTGAGCTCGTCTACACTGGCAGACATGGCCGCTGCAGGTGCAGCAGCAGCAGCGGCGGGAGCACCGGCAGCAGCAGGTGCAGCAGAGGGGGCGGGAGCAGCAGCAGGGCGGGGCTGCGAGAGGAAGGCCTCCACGTCCTCCTTCAGCACACGGCCGTTGGGACCCGACCCTGCCACCAGTGCCATGTCCACCTGCGACAAATAACAGGACAGATGGGAGATGATGCGTTCTAATAGCCTCCACGTCCTCCTTCAACACGCCGCCGTCGAGACCCGATCCCGCTACCAGCACCATGTCCACCTGGCGTGGAGGAGGGAGCACAGACGGGCGGATGAGCATACGTGGGAGCACAGACGGGCGGATGAGCATACGTGGGAGCACAGACGGGCGGATGAGCATACGTGGGAGCACAGACGGGCGGATGAGCATACGTGGGAGCACAGACGGGCGGATGAGCATACGTGGGAGGACGCATGGGGGATGTTTTCTCTCAAACACTCCATTTCTTGCTCACTGCCCCTTGTCACACTCTCACCCTCACACCCCATCCCCCTTCCCATCCCCCTATCCGTCCTCTTCTCCAATGTCACCCCCGCACTCTCACACTCCACTCCCCTTTCCCCTTTTCCCATCCCCCCCCCAACCCACCTTGTGTTCAGCAGCCAGTTTGCGCGCAGCAGGGCTGGCAAACACGCGCGCGCCCTCTGCCCGCGCAGGGGGAGGGGGAGGAGGCGCAGCAGCTGCTGCTGGCGCCGCTGGTGCAGCAGGCGGGGGGAAGGCGAAGCCGGGGCAGCAGCAGCAGCAGGTTGGGCGGTGGAGGCGGGTTGGGCGGGCGTGGAGGGCGGCATGTAGTTGGCGAACTTGGGCACACTCTCTGAATCGTCCACTATCACCGCGATGGGCTGATGGGGGCAGGGGAGGGGGGAGCAGAGGGAAAGGGTAGCGAGAAGAGAAGAGGAGAGAGGGTAGGTGGTGAGAGGGTGGGTTGGGGGAGGGAACATGACAAGCTGAGTTTTTCTGCTGTTGACTGGAAGAGCCTGTGGCGTCCATACAACAGCCTGATGGCTGTGGCCGAAGCAGGAATGAGTGTGTGAGACTCCATGGCGCTGCTATGATGCCAAACAATTGCTGCTCGCCCGAATCACCATCCCACCACACTGCACCTTCCAGCTCACTGTGCCATGCGCCATGCACCGCCTCTCATCGGACCATGCCCCATGCGCCATGCCCCATGCACCGCCTCTCATCGGACCATGCCCCATGCGCCATGCCCCATGCACCGCCTCTCATCGGACCATGCCCCATGCGCAATGCCCCATGCACCGCCTCTCATCGGACCATGCCCCATGCGCCATGCCCCATGCACCGCCTCTCATCGGACCATGCCCCATGCGCCATGCCCCATGCACCGCCTCTCATCGGACCATGCCCCATGCGCCATGCCCCATGCACCGCCTCTCATCGGACCATGCCCCATGCGCCATGCCCCATGCACCGCCTCTCATCGGACCATGCCCCATGCGCCATGCCCCATGCACCGCCTCTCATCGGACCATGCCCCATGCACCGCCTCTCATCGGACCATGCCCCATGCGCCATGCCCCATGCACCGCCTCTCATCGGACCATGCCCCATGCACCGCCTCTCATCGGACCATGCACCATGCGCCATGCCCCATGCACCGCCTCTCATCGGACCATGCCCCATGCACCGCCTCTCATCGGACCATGCCCCATGCGCCATGCCCCATGCACCACCTCTCATCGGACCATGCCCCATGCACCGCCTCTCATCGGACCATGCCCCATGCGCCATGGCCCATGCACCGCCTCTCATCGGACCATGCCCCATGCGCCATGCACCGCCTCTCATCGGGCCATGCCCCATGCGCCATGCCCCATGCACCGCCTCTCATCGGACCATGCCCCATGCGCCATGCCCCATGCGCCATGCCCCATGCACCGCCTCTCATCGGACCATGCCCCATGCGCCATGCCCCATGCACCGCCTCTCATCGGACCATGCCCCATGTGCCATGCCCCATGCACCGCCTCTCATCGGACCATGCCCCATGCGCCATGCACCGCCTCTCATCGGACCATGCCCCATGCGCCATGCCCCATGCACCACCGCTCATCGGACCATGCCCCGCGCGTGCGATGGTCCGATGAGAGGCGCGGTGCACCGCCTCTCATTGGACCGTTGGTACATGCACCATGCGCGTGTACCGCGCCTCATTGTGCCATGCGCCAATCAATGCGCCCCTCCTCACCACTCAGTGCGCCCCACCCAGCTCACCGTGCACGAGGATGGAGGCGAGGAAGCCGTCCCCCCACACCCCATTCGCACACACGCCACCACACACAGCCCTCGCCGGTCCCATCCAACGCACATGCGCCACTCAATGCGCCCCATCCAACTAACCGTGCCGACAGCCACGTCCTTGGCGCCGGCGTGCACGAGGATGGAGGCGAGGAAGCCGTCGTCCATGGCCTCCATCTCCAGCGTCGCCTTGTCCGTCTCTATCTCGCACAGCACCTCGCCCGCTGCCAGTGCGTCGCCTACCGACTTGCGCCACCGCACTATGTTGCCCTGTTGGGGGGGGAGGAGGAGGTGGGGGGATGGGTGATGACATGGTGATGGCATGGTGTCACCATAACATGTGACATGAACGGATGAAATGGGTGAAACATGCACACAAACAGTACCCGGTCACAATGCCAGAAAGTTTTCCTTGCCGCCCAAATTAAAATCACGTATACACTTGCCGTCCATACTTTGAGTAGTGCATGATTATAATGAATGAACGTTATGTGAACTAGCGCTAAAGACATGAGCAGTAAGCACCTGGGTCATGGTTGGGGAGAGCGAGGGCATGGCGAGCGAATGGAAGGGCGGCAGATCTGCAGGGCAACCAGGCAAGCACAGGCGGTGAGGAGAGAAGTGCCAAGGGTGATGGCATGGTAAGGTGACAGTGATGGCATGGTAAGGTGACAGTGATGGCATGGTAAGGTGACAGTGATGGCATGGTAAGGTGACGGTGATGGCATGGTAAGGTGACGGTGATGGCATGGTAAGGTAACGGTGATGGCACAGGAAGCCGTGGCGACAAGAGCAGGAGCAACCAGCGTTCGAGAAACAATTCCACTATAACTCTTCAAAAGCCCGCCTTTCCTCCTATCCCATAAATCTTGCCCGCTCCTCTCCGCTAACCCAGCTCTAATCTCCACCGTCCACTTCCCCCCCTCGCCCCTGCTTCTCTCCTCCCCATCTCAAAACCCGCCTTTCTCACACCTCCACTCTCCCTCACCACCTCTATCCCCCACCCCTCGTTCCAAGTGCACCTGAGGGGGGTGCGGACGAGCCAGCATCGGAAGGAGTGGCAGGGGCAGCGGGGGCAGCAGGGGGCGCGGAGGCACCGGCGTCAGCAGCAGTGAATGTGGCGAATTTGGAGAGATCGGCATTGTCCTCCACCATCACTGCTATCAGCTGAAGGAGATGATGGGAGGACGATACGGGGTCAAGGGAACGGGGCAAAGCGGGACAGAGGAGGGAAGAGCGGAGAGGGAGTTAGAGTCTGGGCAGATCAGAGTCGTCCTCCACCATCACTGCTATCAGCTGCGAGGGCGATGATGGGGGAGGAATGGGGAACAGATGAGAGTGGGAGAGGGGAGAGAGTAAGAGTTGGGCAGAGCGGCGTTAAACTCCTCCACCACTGCTATCAACTAAGGGAGACGAGAGGGGGAGTTAGATAGTACGGCCAGGAAGTTGCGGTGGGAGGAAAAACCTTGTAGCCGTAAGGTAGCTGGGGCACGACGCACACACACATAGTGTTGAGACCAAAACTCATGCTGCCATACATGCAATGCACTAGTACTCATTCACTTGTTTGATATGTGCCAACTCATCAGTCCTCCTCGTTGACTTGCGTTGACTGGCGTTGACTGGCGATGAGTGCGTGAGAATCGACTCACAGTGCCGACGGGGATGTCCTTGGAGCCCTCGGGCATGAGGATCTTGGCCAGGTACCCGTCCTCCATGCTCTCCATTGATAACGTCGCCTTGTCCTGCCATGTGGTTGCGCGCGTGATGCATGATGCATGGTGCATGATGCATGGTGCATGGAGCATGGTGCATGATGCATGGAGCATGGAGCATGGAGCATGGAGCATGGAGCATGGAGCATGGAGCATGGCGCATGGTGCATGGTGCATGGTGCATGGAGCATGGAGCATGGAGCATGGTGCATGGTGCATGGTGCATGGTGCATGGTGCATGGTGCATGGTGCATGGTGCATGGTGCATGGTGCATGGTGCATGGTGCATGGTGCATGGTGCATGGTGCACGGTGCATGGTGCATAGTACATGCACGCATGACCCGTGCCACATCCCCCGCATGCCACATCACCCATGATGCATGAACCATGATGCATGGCACATATGTACACATGCCATATCATGTAGTACCACCATCCAACATCATGCCATGTCATGTCATGCCATACAGTCACACCACGCCACGCCACACTATGCCATGCCACGTCATGCGATGCACAGATGCGCCATGACATGACGTAGCAAAAAAAGGGGTGTTCTCGTGAGTTCACATGCATGTCGAATGCATGTGCACACATGCTGTCTGTCCCGCGTGTGCAGCACAAATGTACATGCAAGCAACAACACACGGCATCATTCCGCATGTGCTGCACACGCCACGCCACAACTCACCGTCTCGATCTCGCACAGCACGTCGCCCGCGTTCACCTGCTCGCCCTCCGCCTTGCACCACTTGGCGATGTTGCCCTGGGGGGAAGGGCGGAGAGCGGAAGAAGGGAGGGGAGTGCGCGTGAGGTGTTGGCAGGTGGACAGGACAGGAACGCCCAACCCCCAACTAACCCGTGCAATGCTGTGTGCTGCAATGCTCATCAGCCACCTCACGCGTCATCTGTACCAACTCACCCGCCCCAGCACCAACCAGCTACCAGTCCCGCAACAACTTGCGTCAGCACTCACCCGCCCCAGCAGTCACCTGCCCGGTGTCACCTGCCGCGCCCTCGCCCCAGTGTCACCTGCCCCACCCGCCACAGTACCGACCTAACCCAGAACCAACCTGCGTCATGGTGGGGGAGAGCGATGGCATGGCGACGGGTTGGTGGGGCGGAACTGCGTGGCGGCACAGAGAAGGGGAGGAGGGGAAATGTGACAAGGGGAGTAACATGACAGACATTGACTTTTGAATCCACGCCATTGGTGCAATCTAAACGGCATCCGAGAACACGGATCTGCTCATTCTTATTTGTCGCAATAGATGTGCTGATGACGGCAAGACACGTACAGGCGGCGGCGGCGGCGGCGGAGTATTTGCGCGCAGACTTCCAGCGGTAGGACATCCCTGGCAGGGACGCAGACCCATGATGTGCGGATGGCGCGCGGGAATCGAGCAGAGCGGAAGGCTTCGAGGTGGAGGCGGAAGAGGCGGAACGGGCGGAAGCGGGGATGAGCGGGGAGCTGCGGAAGGGGAAATGGGGACGACAGGACACGAGAGCACTCCACACGTCATGAGTGATTGCGAATGCGTTGCGTTGCATCACACCGCATATGCACCGCGAATGCATGCAGCGTGTACACGGCAGGGCTCAGGTGTGCTGCACCAGGGTGTGCAACCCTAACGCGGGCAGCAACACACGCAACGAGTTCCTTCCCCAATCGGCACACAGCAAGCGCAAATGCGGAGAGCCTCAGGCGCGCGTATGAGCGCCCGGTAACGCTCTTCGATCAGCTTGACGCAGGAAGGCGAAGCTAAGCTCGAAGTTGGTGTACGTCAGCGAGACGGGGATCAAACGGCCCTTTGCGACTATGCTTCAGCGGATCGGTAATACCCTACGCCAGATTAGGGTTGTGAATTATCAGGAAGGATGGAAGGAGTGCTGGTTAGCCAGTGAGACGGGAATGGGAAGTCATTGATTCTATCCCGCACCTGATGCTGCTGGTTGTGTACGATGCGGATCGGATCTCCTTAGCATGCGCATTCGCCGCGTGCGCGTGTGCGCCGGCCGACTGAACATGCAGCGCCGCCGCTGCCGCTGCGGGCGCAGCCTGCGGAACCATCGGCGCGGTGGACGCGGCGAGCAGGCGGCGGAGGGCCGGCACGGGGACCGCATGCTGCAGGTGACGACGCGACGCCATGGCTGCTAGGGTATGATTCGCTATAAGCTGTCTGGATAGCTGCACTGTGAATCGCTTCGAGCTCCTAGAGACCAGGCTGACGATTCGACGCGAGGGAAAGCGCCGAGGCTATCGACTGGAATCTGAATAATCGGAGAAAGAAACGACAAGGCACGGCAGATCCGGCCACGTGGCGAGCTGCAGGCAAGCGGAGGCACAGAAGCGAGGCAGCACGCACGTCCCGCGACTGCTGCAGCTTGTCAGGCAGGGAGGCAGGCAGACCAGGAGGCTGTCTGTCCGTCTGCTTTGTGCCAGTCCAATCTCGAGGTGCTGCTGTTGCTGTGTGCGAAGCAAGCCGCTAAAAGAAAGGGGTGGAGAAAGGTGGAGGTGGGAATGGATCTAGGGTGCGGAGGGGGAGCGGAGGAAATGGCGGAGGCGGGGTTAGATATTCCTGGCGCACGGCGATCCCAAGGGTGCAGCAAATGCGCGTGACACGCACCAGCATGAATGTGAGGAGAGATCTGCGGGCGACGCTGTTACGGGATTGGGTGAAATGTTCTTCGCCTGCCGCTGTCTGTGCCGAGGACCAATCCGAAAGCAGCAATGGTGGTTCCAATCGACACAACTGATCGAAGATGCCGAAATTTCATAACCAGATCAAAACTGCTTCGGAGGATGTTACCATTACAATTCACGAAACGAAGCCTCTCATACGCGTACAAATTCAGCATATTCCCTGCTCCGCGTGTCTACAGGAGCACAAAGAAAGAGACGCGCATGCTGCAAACGCAGAAACAGCAAGTGCAAGCAGATCTTGATCACCCAACGCTGTGGCATGAGTGTGAGACGGAAATCGTTACAGAGTCGGTCGTGGGCATGAGGGCGCTGTCCTGATCTCGCCGCTAGCCCAGGAGGTTTTTAAACGATGGCGACAGCTCCGCAGGCCTCCCTTGCCTTTGAGCGAGTCTCCCCCCGCTCGCCCGCACACCCGCGGCGGCTGCTAGTACTGCTGCTGCTCTTGGCGCTACTGCTGCTCGTGCGCGGGAGCAGAGGCGGCGAGGGGCGGGGGGAGAAGCTGCGGGAGGGGAATGCGGAAGCGGAAGAGCAAGAGGATGATGATGAGGATGCGGAGGAGGAGGAGGCGCGGCGCGCAACGATAGGGCTGTTGGCGCACGGGTGGAACGACGTGCGCGAGTGGCGCGCGGCGCTGGTGAAGGGCGTGGAGTACGTCAAAATCGACTTCTCCTGGATGCCGCCCGCCCGCTGCAAGCTCCAGGTGCTCCCCCTCTCAGATGCGCCCTGCATGTGGACGAGGGGCGAGGGGCGAGGGGCGAGGGGCGAGGGGCTAGGGCGAAAGGGGGGGATTGTTCCCCCGTTCTGCTCCCCGCCCTCTCCTTACCGTCCCGGCTTCCATCCCTGCTCTTCCCTTCTTCCCCTGCCACACTCCTTCTCCATCCCTCCATCCCTGCTCTCGCCCTTCCTCTGCCTTCCCCTTGCCTCACAGGTGGGGCCGCACTGGCAGTACAACCCACATGGCTGCTTCGGATTGGTGCACTCGCTGACGTGGCTCAGCCGCCAGCTCAACACCAGCGATGACGTCATCACGTTCCTCCGTGACCCGGCCAATCGCGTGCTTCTGACGTATCCGCGCCCACGGCTCTACATCCAGGTAGGCGTGAGTGTGCGGAGTGCGGATTTGGGGCATGTGGGGTGTGGGCGTGTGGGGCGTGGGGCGTGTGGGGCGTGGGGCGTGAAGGGCAGGTATCTGCATGCGTGGTTAACAAATGCATATGGCCGCAGTTCTCCTCTTTTCCTACTTCATTCATCTGCCGTGTTTTGCACCACTCATTTGCTGCCCCACCCCACCCCACTCCACCCCACCCCACCCTACCCCTTCCCACTCCTCCAAACCTCCAACTCACCCTCCCCCTCCCTCACCACTCGTCCTCCGACCCGCCAAGCCAGTTGTGCCCCAAGAACCGTCCAGTCCTCTGCACCACCAATCACACTCGCGCTGCCACGTCAGCTCATGTCACCACTCATGATGTGCCACGTGGCGAATTTGCTGAAGAGCAGGCCATAAGAATGCGCCACGTCGTGCCACGTGGCAGCAGCGCAAGAGTTCTGAGTGTGATGGCACGTGGTACAGCTTTATCCAGTAAAAAAAACACCGCCAATGCAGGCACATCTGGTGCATCACGGACAGGCACATCTGCAGTGAGCAGTGCAAGGAAAGGGGGGGACGGCATAAGGTGGGGGAACGAGGCAGTGCGACAGTGGATGAGGCTGTTTGACGACTTCTTCCTGCGCGCCAATGCCGCCCTGCAAGAGCTGCACCTCAACGCCGAGTTCTTCCTCAACGACGTGAGACCCTCGCATGGTCACATCACACCTGCTGTGCATTGTCGTATAGGTGCACCGGTAATCGTCTTATCTCCTGCGCACCTCCACCGCCCTGCACGCCCTGCACCCCAGCTTCGAGATCTGTCTTCCTCAATGATGTGAGATTCCCGCACGCTGACACCTGCTGTGGCTCACATGTGTCCTCTGCCGTTCTCCATCTCCACTGCACGTCCCATCCCACCCTTCACTCGCTCCCACCCTCACGTCTCGCCTCTCTGCCCCCGGTTCTCTCCCAACATCCTTAATCCGGGCAGATGGGCACGCGATGTGTGGCGCAGCGGTGGCGGCCGTGGGTGATAGCATGGGACGACAACGACCTCTTTTCCCCCAAATTTCCGATCCTCTTACACTCCCCCGCCCCCTCGTTCCTCCCTCATCTTTCTCTCCCATCTCCCCATGCTCTCCTGAATGTGGACAGATGGGAGGGAGGTGTGTGGCGCAGCGGTGGCGGCCGTGGGTGATAGCATGGGATGACAACGACCTTACCAGCCGCCCCGCCACCACCAACGACCCCACTGATGCCTCCGACCGCTTCCAGGCATGAACCATGAGTATGCTTCGTCCATGTGACATGTGTGACATGTGTGGCATGTGACATGTGGCATGTGACATGTGGCTTGTGGCATGCGTCACGTGGCATGTGGCATGCCAATGCGTTGGTTCCAAGTGTTCCTTGGAATGCGGAATGTCCATGCATGTGTAGCATGACGCCACATTCACTTGGTGGTGGTGGACCATGTGTCAGGTGCTCAACCATGACGCCACATTCACATGTTTCAGGTGCTCAACCATGACGCCACATTCACATGTGTCAGGTGCTCAACCATGACGCCACATTCACATGTGTCAGGTGCTCAACCATGACGCCACATTCACATGTGTCAGGTGCTCAACCATGACGCCACATTCACATGTGTCAGGTGCTCAACCATGACGCCACATTCACCTGGTGGGCGGCAGCAGCGCAGCAGCAGTTCATGAAGTTCAAGGACTCGCCCTATGCGCTCGTGCTCTATGAGCCTCAGGTGAGCCTCAGGTGAGCCTCAGGTGAGCTTCAGGTGAGCCTCAAGTGAACATCAGGTGTGCCTTAGGTTAGTCACAGAGGAGTCTCAGATGAAATTTACATGAGGTACAGGTGAGACTCAGGTGAGACTCAGAAATATGTTTTTACAAAATTCATGTAATCCTCTGCCGCTCTTGCTGCTGCGTGACATTATAATTGGCCTACAATCATGCCCCGCCCTGCCATCATGCCCTGTCCTGCCATCCCCACCCTGCCCCGCCATCAGGACGAGAGGGCGTTCGCCATGTTCTCCGATGTCTACCTCTCAGCCAACCTCACCCACACGCCCGGATTCCGCTTCGCCAGCAACATTGACCCCATCATGTTCCGCCTCTTCACCGCCCCCTCCTCCCACCTTGCCACCCATTTGCCCTACGCTGATGATGTCTCCTCGCCGCCTCCCCCTTTCTCCCGCCCTGCCGTGGCCGTTATTCCACTGCCTGCCAATTCCACGAGATACAATGTGGCTCAAGATCCCTCCTCCTCTTCCTCCAACCCTCTTTCCGTTCCCTCCTTTGCCATCCTAACCATGCATTGGCTACCAGACAACCCACTGGACCCGCCCTCTTCCCCGGTCTACACTATTCAGATCGCCCCGTCCCTCCCTGCCGCCCACCCACCTGCAACAGTAATCAGCAGCAACCCATTGCCGGGCGGGGAACTTTTATCTGCTTGTGAGGTGGAAAGTGGGAAGGGAGGTAGATCTGATGGCAAGGGGAAAGGAGGGACGCAATTCGGGCAGGTGGAATTTGAGTTGGAGCAGGTGGGATCTGAACAGGTGGGATCTGGGAGGGTGGCATCTGTAAGTGTATTAGACCTGCCTCACAGTATGGCAGTGGGTGTCAGTGATGGCACGTCTGGGGGAGAAATGGGAGGAGGGGGAGAAGGAGATGGGATGGGAGAGGAAAGGAAGAGGAGGGAGAGGAGGAGGGCGGGTGTGGACGGAGTTGCTCTGGTAGCCAGTGATGCATGTGGCGGCCATATCCTCCTGTGGTTCGCTTATGACTCGCTAACGCTCACTCTTTTATCGAGGATAGACGTTCCAGATCGCATGCCGCAGCAGGCTGGCAGTGGCACGCAGCTCGCCTCAGTCGCGTGGAGCACTGTAGCGCTGGAGAGACCTGCTTTTAACGAGGATGAGGAGATGAGCAGTGAACAGGAGCAGCAGCAAGGAAAGAGCGCAAGGCATGGGGAGGATGAGGGGAGGAGAGTGGATGGGTCTAAAGTGGTGCTGGTGGGTGTGGAGGCGTACATTCCAAGCAATAATCACCTTCTTGTTGACTCCAGTGCAGCAAGTGGTGCAGATGGGCAGAGGGCAGACGAGGAAACAAGCACGCACAGCGAGGGTGGAGGGGAGAAGGGGAGCAGCAAGGGACAATCATGTGGGCTCATGGGTCGCGTGCTCGTCTGCTCTCTGCCTCCCCTCCCTGCTCATCACGCGTCCGACTCCTCAGCAGATAATGATCACACTGGTGGCATCGCATGTGTGTCTGTTGGCCGTCCCTTCTGCATCTCACAGCTTTCTCCGTCCCCGTCTGTCCCTCTCGCCATAGCAGCCGTTCACACCACGTCTGGCAGTGCGTCAAGCAGTGGCGACGCCAGTGGTAGCAGGAACAATGTTACTTTCGGTAGCCCTGGCAGCAGCACAAGCACCAGCAGCAGCGGCGGCGTGGAGGTGCGAATCGAGGCAGTGGTGGCGTTCTCTCTTGGGGGCGCTCAAAGCACTGCCACACGCGCAGGAAGCGGGGCCACGCACTCCGCCCATGGGGTGGACGCGAGTCCTCTTGTGTTCGTGCACCATGTGAACCTCTCCCTCCCCGCGCACTCGCTACTGCATGCCGCACAGCACCTCGCTAACGGCAGCACGGAGAGTGGCAAGGCAGGGGCAGTGACAGGGAAAGTGCCCGTGGCAGTGTCAACGGCAGAGGCAGAGGCAGCGGTGGTGGGGGTTCCTGTGTCAATGCCAGTGGCAGAGGCAGTGACCGTGACCAGGGGTGACCTCCCTGCGCCACTCTCACCCTCCCGTGTGGCCGCGCACGTCACCCCACCGCCTCTTGCCGACCCTGTGCCTTTCGCTCGGGGGTCCATGCCAGCTGTCAGCATGGCATTGGCTGCTGGAAAGCGGGTAGCAGGAGAGGACGAAGGGGTGGAGGAGGGGGACGCGCGTGTGCTGCTGCTGCACACAGACGCCTTCTGCTGGAACTCCTTTGCCCGCCACGACACGCCCCTCGGCTCCCCTCAGGTGCGTGCCTGCCTCCATATTTGCCTCCATATTTTCACACATCCCCTCCCTTCAGTTCCGTGGCAGGTACACTCCCACCCATGCCACCCCCATCCGCATCCCCATCCCCATGCCCACCCCAACCCACATTTGCATCCCCACCCCCACCCAACCCACACAGTGTGTGACCTGCCGTACACCGTATTCGACTCATGAGACGTCTTGTAAGTCGTCTACCCCCTCCCCCCCCAGGTGTGTGACCTGCCGCGCACCATATTCGGGGCATCTCAACCAGGCATTCTTGCCTACACCTACGGCCGCCTCTCCACCCTCCACTCCCGCCTCTCCGCCGCCCACGCCTCCCTCTCTTCCTCCTCCACCTCTTCCCCATCCACCGCAACCACCAACTCGCCACCATCCAATGCCATGGTGGCATCGGCGTGTGACAGCTCTCTCCTGCACGGCACATACGACCAGGGCGTGGGTGCTCCTGCTGCTGCCCTGCTGCTGCTCCCCCGTGCCAGCACCCGCACCCGCCACGTGGGGGAGAGGACGGGAGGGAAGGAGGAGGAGGAGGAGGAGGAGGAGGAGGAGGAGGAGGAGGAGGAGGAGGAGGAGGAGGAGGAGGAGGAGGAGGAGGAGGAGGAGGAGGAGGAGGAGGAGGAGGGGGGGGAGGAGGAGGGCTGGCAGAGGGGGCTCAACAACTGTGGAGACCCGCTGCCTGCCCCGGGGTTGGTGCTGGACGTGTGGGACATGCCGCCGCTGCTCCACTGACAATCACATGCCGTGTTGATCGGGCACTGGATTTTCGTTGTAACATCTCTGCTGGGCTGATGGCTGTTGCTAGAGCTGGTTAGCTGTTTGCCTAGTAGGCTGGTAGGCTGGCTGGCTGGTTGGTTGGTGTCTGTGGCACGATAACTGTGGGTGCAGGCATGAAAGAGCCTTCTAGTTCAGTCACAAGTGGAGGAGAATGTGGTGACACAGCAACTTTCAGATTGGGCAGCTTCCATGCTCTTGCTGTACCTGGTAGCATGCTGCCTGCAGTCACTGCTCTCGTTGCAGCAGCAGCTTAGCGATCAATAGATTCTGTATGTGCCCCTGACCATTCCTGTACTGCACGAAATGTGACCAGTATCTTTTTCGTGTCAGTCCCTGCCATACCTGCTTGTGCGAGAGGAGGATTTGCCTGACCCAGATCCGGTTTGTGGTGGCTTGCTCTGTCTAGGTATATGCATGCAAGCTGCATGCAGCGCAGGTGGGAGGGTTCCCTGCCTGCACCCGCGCTTTCTCCCCATCATGGTGTTCGTGCCTCTCATGGCAGCTCCACCCCACTCTCACTCGCTCTCCTGCTTGGCTGTTTGTGCCCAGGCGCCTTCCAGGCTGCCCACCCCACCCACCTGCTCTACAACGTGCAGGCCCATCCAGCACAGCAACGGCACAACACACCCAAGCACAGCACACCTAAGCACAGCACATCTAAGCACAGCACATCTAAGCACAGCACATCTAAGCACAGCACATCTAAGCATTGCTAAACGCACCTAGACACACCCAACACACTGCCTCTGCTGAGCACAGCAGCAGCCAGAGTCTTCTCCTTGCCTCCACATCGCCAAAACAGAGCCACGTTAAATTCTTATTTCTGAGCTGTCATCGGGACAGAATGGGGAACGGAAGAGAGGGGAGGGGATAGAACAAGGAGGCTCAAAGCATTTGTGAATCATAGGGCGCATTTTCTGTTCGAATCAAAGATTGCAGAAGGTGCAACGAAGATTTGGAGCGCCATTGTGGAGCAAGCAGGAAGTGAGAGGCCAGCAGAACCCACACTTACCATTCACTGCTGCTGCTCCCACTGCTCCCTGCACAGCTGTTGCCAGAGCCATGGGACATGGAGAAGGAGAGAGGTGAGGGCGCCATGATAGCAGGATACAGAAGATGGAAAGCACGGGCAACACAAGGCAACCATGAAGAGAGATGGGTATGACTTGGAAGCTTAGAGAACGCAGGTGATATTAAACAACCAACACCAAGAGGACACTCAGAAGCAGTAGAATAAGCTGTACTCACTTCTTATGCTGCAACTGCAACCACTGCAGTGGCCGTTGATGCTGCAACTGCTGGTGCCACTACCACTGCCTGTGTGCTTGCCACCATCCCGCAGTTGCCGCATCCTCTTCCCTTTTGAGTGCTGGAGGAGGGGGGAGGAAGGGTGGCAAGCACGAGGAAGAGAGGCGTGAGAGCACGGAGAGGAGAAGCGAGTAATTGAGGGGCTGAGGATGTGAAAGAGCACCGACAAGGCAGAAGAGATGGCAGATGGCAGCTGGAGAAGGCAGGCACTGAGACAAGACGCCATGGAGGATGCGTTCACCTGCTGCTGCACCTTCACTCTTGTCTTGCACAAGGAACAGAAATGTTGTCTCCTTCCCACCGATGCACAACGCACTCCACGGCTTGGAGCCTAAGAGACATACTCACAGGCACGCACACGCACATGCAAACAAGGACAGGAGCCGCCTCCCCACCCCATCCCCTCCTCTACCCCTCCCACCCCCCTCCTTCCACCCCTTCCCCCCCCCCCGTCGTCACAATCATGGGAAGGCAGAACACACACACACAGAAGGGAGGGTTAGGAGAAACAGGAGAAGAGGCGAGTGGCAGAGACAAGAACAACAGACACTACACTTGCCTCTGCGCGGCGACACACTACGACTCAATTCTTGCCCCCCCTGAAAGCACCCCCTGGCACATACCATGATCTGTCCGCTGCTCTCCCAGTTTTGCGCCACGCCTTCACTTCAGGCGTACACGTGCTGCCATTGCTCTCCGACTCGCAGGCCACGAGGAACACACACACACACGGGGAGAGAGACACACACACACGGGGAGAGAGAGGCACACACACACATGGGGAGAGAGACACACACACATGGGGAGAGAGAGACACACAGAAGCAGCGCAGAAAAAAAGGGTTAGAAGCAACAGGTGGCGATTGGCGGACTGGCAAGCAACAGACACGACTCTTGCCTCTGCGCGGCGACGCACTACGACTCACTTCACGGCACCCCCACAAGCACCCGCTGACATGTACCATGCTCCGTGTGCCACCCTGCCGCTCTGCCTGCACCACGCCTTCTCTGCTAGCGTGCCACTCCAGGCTGCTCTGTTGCTGCTGCGCCAAGCCTTCGCCCCAAGCAGCGCCCTGCCGCTGCCCGTGCTCCCGGTTGCTCCATTGCTTCTGCTACTGCAGTCGTTGCTGTCGTCGCAACCACCGGTCGCTTCAGGGAGGAGGAGAGGACAGGAGAGGAGGGGTTAGGAAGCTGAGAAGAGTGGCATGTTCATCTCACAGCACCGCTGCAAGGACTCATGGCACCGTGGAAAAATGGTAGACAAGAGAGAACGGAACACAGAAAGCAGGAAGATGGCAAAAAGTGAAACGTGAAAAGTGAAAGTGAAAAGTGAAGTGGTGAACTGCTAGACCTGATTCACTCACAACCTCTTGTGTGCTCGCCATCATCCTGCAGTCGCTGCAGCCACTGGTGATTTCCACTCGCTGACACCCCCATCCGTCTCGCAGGACATGAAGCACACACACGCATGGGGAGAGAGAGACACACACAGAAGCAGCACAACAAGGGAGGGTTAGGAGCAGCAGGAGAGGAGGCGAGTGGTGGAGGCAAAGGCAACAGACACGACTCTTGCCTCTGCGCGGCGACACTGACTTCACTGCCCCCCTGCAAGCACCCCCTGGCACGTACCACTTCTCCTTGGCAGAGCCTGCCACTCCTGCGCGACGCATTCGACCCAAGAAGCACCTGCTGCTGCCCGTGCTCCAGGTGTCAGGCGTGCTGCTCCAGGTTGCGTGTTGCCTGCTGCTGTTACCTGATATAACAAGGGACTGTGGCTTGTGAGTCGGGCCAAAACCAACCAGTGGCGAGATTTCAGAGGACAAAGCAGTGAAGCACATGCACGACAGGGGATAAGTGCTCGGCATCACAAAAGGCAAAGCATTTGGAGGAGAAAATACTTGGCTGGAAAGTCAAGGCGCTGTTGCTACTGCTGCTCCAAGTCACCAGCGCTGCTGCACTCACCAGCACTGCTACTGTGTCTCGGGCAGAAACGAAGCCCCCAAGGTTGTCACCCCCGTCCATTCGCCGCCATTCCCCTCCGTCTCACAGGCCATGAAGCACACACACGCAAGGGGAGAGAGGCACACGCAGACAGAAGCAGCGCAACAAGGGAGGGTTAGAAGTAATGGCAAGGAAGCAATGGTGGAGGCAATGGCAAGGACTCTTGCCTCTGCGCGGCGACGCCCTACGACTCACTTCACGGCCCCCCTGCAAGCACCCCCTGGCACGTACCACGCTCCGTCCGGCACTCTGCCGCTGCTGCGCCACGCCTCCACTTCAGGGACACTGCTCCTTGCTGTCTCTTGTGCGAGCCAGCAACGGCCGCCGCGTCGATTCCTCCTCCACTCCGTGCCATTCCCGTCCGTCTTGCAACCAAGAGGCACACACACGCACGGGGAGAGGGACACGCACACAGAAGCAATGCAACAAGGGAGGGTTAGAAGCAGCTAGAGGCGGGTGGTGGAGGCAAAACGAAGAGAGACGACTCTTGCCTCTGCGCGGCGACGCCTACGGCTCACTTCACGGCCCCCTGCAAGCACCCCTCCGTGCACATACCATGCTCCATTCGTCGCCCTGCCGCTGCTGCGCCACGCCTCCACTTGAGGCGCGCTGCTCCCGGTTGTCTCCCATGTGAGCCAGCAACAGCAGCCCGTGTTCCCCGTCCACTCCGTTCCATTGCCGTCAGTCTCGCAGGCCGTGAGGCACACACACGCATGGGGAGAAAGACAGCCACACAGAAGCGGTGCAACAAGCCAGGGTTAGAAACAGCAAGAGGCGAGTGGTGGAGGCAAGGGCAACAGACACGACTCTTGCCTCTGCGCGGCGACGCCCTACGACTCACTTCACGGCCCCCCCACAAGCACCCGCTGGAACGTACCATGCTCCGTGTGCCACCCTGCCGCTCTGCCTGCACCACGCCTTCTCTGCTAGCGTGCCACTCCAGGCTGCTCTGTTGCTGCTGCGCCAAGCCTTCGCCCCAAGCAGTGCCCTGCCGCTGCCCGTGCTCCCGGTTGCTCCGTTGCTTCTGCTACTGCAGTCGTTGCTGTCGTCGCAACCACCGGTCGCTGCAGAGGACAGATGAGGACAGGAGAGAAGGGGTTTGAGAACTGAGAAGAGTGGCATGAAAACATGGCAACACAGCTGCAAAGACTCATGGGCGCCATTGGGGGATGGTAGACATGAGAGAACGGAACAGACCGCAGGAAGATGGTGAAGAGTGAACAGAGAAAGCAGGAAGATGGTATACCGTTTGACCTGGTCCACACACAACCTCTTGTGTGCTCGCCATCATCCTGCAGTCGCTGCAGCCACTGGTGATCCCCGCTGCCACTAGCTGCCATTCCCCTCCGTCTCGCACGCCATGAAGCACACACACGCATGGGGAGAGAGATACACACACAGAAGTGGCACAACAAGGGAGGGTTAGGAGCAGCAGGAGAGGAGGCGAGTGGCGGAGGCAAGAGCAACAGACACAGCTCTTGCCTCTGCGCGGCGACTCCCTATGACTGACTTCACGGGCCCCCTGCAAGCACCCCCTGGCACGTACCACTTCTCCTCCTTAGCAGAGGCTGCCTCTCTTGCGCCACACATTCGACCCAAGCAGCACCTACTGCGGCCCATGCTTCAGGTGCCAGGTGTGCTGTTCCAGCTTGCCTGCAATGAGAAGGGACTGTGGCTTGTGAGTCAGGCCAAAACCAGCAAGTTGCGAGATTTCAGAGGAGAGAGCAGTGAAGAACGTGCGGTACAAGTATGAGCGCTTGGCATCACAAAAAGCAAAGCGTTCAGAGGAGAACATACTTGCCTGAAAAGTCAATGCGCTGTTGCATTCACTAGCGCTGCTCCTGCTGCTTCAAGTGACCAGCGGTGCTGCATTGCATTCACCAGCGCTGCTGCTGTGTCTCGGGCAGGAACAAAGCCCGCACACTTGTCACCCGCCGTCCACTCCCTGCCATTCCCCGTCTCACAGGCCATGAGGCACACACACACGAGGGGAGAGACGCACGCAGACAGAAGCAGCGCAATAAGGGAGGGTCAGAAGCAGTAGGGAAGGAGGCGAATGGTGGAGGAAAGGGCAAGGACTCTTGCCTCTGCGCGGCGACGCCCTACGACTCACTTCACGGCCCCCTTACCAGCACCCCCTGGCACGTACCATGCTAAGTCCGCCGCTGTCCCACTCCTGCGCCACGCCTTCACTTCAGGCGTGCTGCTTTAGCATGAATCTCGAGCGAGGCAGCAACGGAAGTCCCGTCCGTTCCGCGCCCACTCCATGCCATTCCGCGCCCACTCCATGCCATTCCGCGCCCACTCCATGCCATTCCGCGCCCACCCCTCCACCTCGGAGGCCGTGAGGCACACACACGCATGGGGAGAGAGGGACAGCCAAACAGAAGCAGCGAAACAAAGGAGGGTTAGATGCAGCAGGAGGCGAGTGACGGAGCAGCAAGCAACAGACACGACTCTTGCCTCTGCGCGGCGACGCCTACGACTCACTTCACGGCCCCCCTGCAAGCACCCCTCCGTGCACGTACCACGTTCCGTTCGCTGCTCTCCCACTCCTGCGCCTACCTTCACTTCAAGTGAGGCCGCAACAAGAGTCCCATCCATTCCGCGTCCACCTCGCAGGCCGTGAGGCACACACACGCACGGAGAGAGGGACACGCACACAGAAGCGGAGCAACACGGGAGGGTTAGAAGCAGCAGGTGGCGAGTGGCGGAGACAAAAGCAACAGACACGACTCTTGCCTCTGCGCGGCGACGCCTACGACTCACTTGACGGCCCCCCTGCAAGCACCCCTCCGTGCACGTACCACGCTCCGTCCGCCGCTCTCCCACTGCTGCGCCACGCCTTCACTTGAGGCGTGCTGCTGCAGATTGTCTCGCGTGCGAGCCAGCAACGGCAGCCCCGTCCTTTCCCCGTCCACTACCTGCCATTCCCATCTGTCTCGCAGGCCGTGAGACACACACACGCATGGGGAGAGAGGCAGCCACACAGAAGCAGCGCAACAAGGAAGGGTTAGAAGCAGCAGGAGGCGAGAGGTGGAGGAAAGGACAACAGACACGACTCTTGCCTCTGCGCGGCGACGCCCTACGACTTACTTCGCCCCCTGGAATCACCCCTGGCACGTACCATGCTCCGTCCGCCGCTCTTCCTCTCTTCCGCCTCGTCTCTTGAGGCGTGCTGCGCCAGGTTGCTCGGCTGCTGCTGCTGCCGCAGTCTTTGCTCTCGTTGCGATCGCCATCGCGGCGCTGCCTTTGACACGCTCCTGAAACACACTGATGGTGCACACTGATGGATCACTCCGGCACTCACGCGCGGGCTTGGAGCCCGTGAGGCAGACGCAAGAAGAAATAGTCGGTTAGGTTTGCTAGGAACGGGGGGGGGGGGGGACTAGCCCAAGGGCAGTCAGTCAGACTAAGACTCTGGCGCTTAACCCCCTAATTTCTGCTCACCCCCGATGAAAGCTCTTCCCCTCGCACTTACAAGGTCAAGCCCGGTCGGAAACTTCGTGTGATGGCGGAAAATGCAGCGACGGTATTTTAACGGCGGAAACAGCAGCTCCGTCGCTTTGACGGCGGAACGGCAGTAACGATATTTTGATGGCGGAAGCAGCAGCGACGTCGATTTATCGCGGAGATAGCAGCTACCTAGCGTTGACGACGGAAACATGAGCAACGCCGCTCTGACGGCGAAAACGTCAGTAACATTGTGTTTACAGCGTAAGCCGCAGCAACGTCAGTTTGACGGCGGAAATAGTAGCGAGTTAGCTTTGGCGACGGAAACAGCAGCAACGCCGCTGTGACGGCGGAAACGACAGTATCGTCGTCTGAAGCAGCAGGGACGTCGCTTTGACAGCTGAAATACCAGCATCTTTGCATGGACAACGAAAACAGCAGCGCCATTGCTGGTAAGTATCGACGCCGAAAGCAGCTATGGCGTTGCTTTTCCGGCGGAACAAGCAGCTAAGCTTCGGCGAGTACAGCAGCGACAACGTTGCTTATTGGCGGAAATAGCGGCTACGTCGCGTTGATGATGAAAGCATCGACGCTTCATTCACGGCGGAACACAGCAATGTTGCTACGACGTTGGAAGCAGCGGCGGCGTTGCCTTGGCGAGGTGACCTCGCTTGACGGCTTACTATCCGTCTCAACTGGAACGCCGTCCTGCTATCCGTCTCAACTGGAAAGCCGCCTGGACTAGCATCTTAAAACCAGGGTCATATGTACCGAGACTAAGATCAACTGCAAAACACTCGGTTTACATGAGACCCTGGTTTTAACGTCCGCAGATCAGATCCATCGTAACTGACGTACGCCGTACGTTCTTAACAAGGTATCTTTTTAACTTGGAATCCCAATCCGCCACAACTTGACAAGGTCCTCACTACATTCGGCTAAACTGTCATTCATATTATTATCGATTGCCAGACAAAGTCGCCGCAAATATAATATGATTTGACTTCAAGTTAGTGCAGGCATGCGAGTGAACTAGGGGCTAGTACAACCAGCAGCTGACATTGCTGGACATGGAGCCAGATCGGAGATAAGAAAACGGCAGGCCTGAAAGATAGTGCAAGTGGAGCATAGGAAGCGACAAATGGAGGGGAGGAGAAGATTTGGTTGATACCTCCGAGGAGAAACGTAAACGTAAGGAGCTGCCTCATCCCGCTCTCGACAAACCCCACAAGACTGAAAGAAGAGACCAAGGGAACTCCCACCGTCATGGCGGCTGAATTCCGCCAATTTCCATCCCAAGCCAAGCATGGCCCCTCACTGACAGGAGGCTCGAAGCGATGAGGTTTGGATCCCCAAGGAGAGGCGTGGATTGGCTGGCAAAGGCCCTGGCAAGTTCCGTCAGAGCGAACATTTGAATTTTTTGGAGGGAAACAGAAGGTTCGGTGCGAGGTCAGACAAGGGTCTTTGGCAGGGATAAGTTTCGATAAAAAGTCTACCGAACAAGTGAACATTCTGGGATCTAGCTACAGTCTGTGCATTACTGATGCAACCACATGTAAAGCTAATGCCCTTTCCTGGAGTACAAACTTGGGCCTGACCTGAAGCTAATTTCCAGCCATTGTGCAAACGTCAACATTCCCAAAACACCCCCTTTGAGATATTGTTGGACTGAATTATGCACATGTGACAACTGGTTCTAATTAGTTGGGGACTTCATTGTGAGACTTGAAAAGCAACCACAATACACCACACCACCATAATAAACAAGAATTTTCTGAAACAAATAACGCATGTCATGATGCAATGCAGAGCAGCCGAGCACGGGTCACAGCAGTGGTTTGGCCTCGGGGTCAAGGTCGTCCTTATCATCCTTGGAGCCCCCTGAAGGCATGGTGCCCAACCCTATGTGCCCCTTGAGAGCTGTCGGGTTCTTGGCCGGCATGACTCCTGTGGGGAAGTGGGGGGCGCAGGATGAGAAAAAGGTGATAATCAGGGGGCATACAGGGAGACGAGAAGAAGAAAAAATAAAAGAAATGGTGGTGCACTATAGTGAGGGACGTCCGGCGGACGGGAAGAGAGAGCAGAGAGATTGAAGGGGAAGGGAGAGCACGTACGAGCAGAGGGGTCGAAGAGGTGCAGGCGCGAGGAGTCGCCCGCGAAGTCCTTGGTGGCGTGGAGCAGGTAGGTGCCGATGAGGATGGTGAGGAAGCCACACACCTCCATCAGCACCTGCTCTGCTGTCTGCCCCGCCCAGTCCTTGTACATTATCACCGAAGCCACTATGGTGAGCGTGGTGAACATGACGTAGTATATGGGCGTTACCACTGCCGTGTTGAATGTGTCTAGGGACTGGGAAGGGCGGCGAGGGGGAGGGGAAGGGGGAAAGATGAGGCGCAAAGACATGAAGCATCCCACTATGGTGAGCGTGGTGAACATGACGCAGCATATGGGTGTTACTGCTGCTGTGTTAAATGTGTCTAGGGACTGTAAAAGGGAGAGGGGAGGGAGGCGAATGAGGAGTGGAGGAGAAGGCGAGGATGGCAGGCAAGGACCCTGTATGACGTGGAGAAATCATCACATGACAGTCAGCGTGGTGAAGTTGATTTACTATTGACAGGCGTCAACACTGCCGTGCTGAACACTGTACGGTAACAACTAGCTGTGATCCCTCGCTGTGCAGTCAGCACGCACACCTTGTTGAGGTAGTTGATCTGCGTGACAGCGCAGGCGGCGAGGGCGAGGGCAAAGAAGGCGGTTTCAGGGTAGAAGAGCTGATTGTCTCCGTACAGCGTCAGCTTCACTGCAATCCCTAGGGCCTTGCAGCTCGCCACCTGGTGGCACATGCAGGGACACACGGAGGGGCACACACAGGAACATGCAGCAGTGGCGGCACACATGGCATGAGATGCTGACTACGGTGATGGCTTGTCAATAGAGGTCATGCTGCCATGCTGCCACGCTCGGCAGTGCTGCAAATGGCGCAGAGAGACAAAGAGCCCGAGAGCGTGTGAAGAGCACATTACGAGCAGATCAAGAGTGCACTCATGGAGATGGAGCCGAGCAGGGAGCAGATGGCGAGGTACACGAGGACGTTGGTACGCGGGGGGAACAGGGGCGGAGGGACGGGGGCCGGGGCACAGGGGACGGGCAAGGTGCACTCACGGAGATGGAGCCGAGCAGCGAGCAGATGGCGAGGTACACGAGGACGTTGGTGGCGCCGTAGCGTGGCGCCAACACAAAGATGAGAAACACACTCAGCGCCAACGCCGTCACTGAGTAGCTCACAAACGCTGTGCATTGGACGTGCATGGGGGAGTGCAATGGAGGAGGGCACGGGAGGGAGAGGGAGCAATGGGATGTTGTCCTGAGGAAGGAGGCAACTGGACAAGGCTGAGGAGGAATCAAGCACTGGTGTAGCCACTAGGCATCAGGCAATGCCACAACCATAATGCCTCACAGCAGCCAAGGCCAGTACCCCACCTGGCTCGATGCCGATCGTTCCTATTTGGCTCGGCAGTCGTGAGCACCCTCACCTCGTTTGACAGTGCCGAAGAGCCCCACCTGGTTCGGTGACGAGCCCGTGTACCTGGTTCGGTGACGAGCCCGTGTACCTGGTTCGGTGACGAGCCCGTGTACCTGGTTCAGTGGCGAGCCCGTGTACCTGGTTCGGTGGCGAGCCCGTGTACCTGGTTCGGTGGCGAGCCCGTGTACCTGGTTCGGTGGCGAGCACCCATGTGTACCTGGTTCGGTGGCGAGCACTCATGTGTACCTGGTTCGGTGGCGAGCACCCATGTGTACCTGGTTCGGTGGCGAGCACCCATGTGTACCTGGTTCGGTGGCGAGCACCCATGTGAACCTGGTTCGGTGGCGAGCACCCATGTGTACCTGGTTCGGTGGCGAGCACCCATGTGTACCTGGTTCGGTGGCGAGCACCCATGTGTACCTGGTTCGGTGGCAAGCCCGTGTACCTGGTTCGGTGGCGAGCACCCATGTGTACCTGGTTCGGTGGCGAGCACCCATGTGTACCTGGTTCGGTGGCAAGCCCGTGTACCTGGTTCGGTGGCGAGCACCCATGTGTACCTGGTTCGGTGGCGAGCACCCATGTGTACCTGGTTCGGTGGCAAGCCCGTGTACCTGGTTCGGTGGCGAGCACCCATGTGTACCTGGTTCGGTGGCGAGCACCCATGTGTACCTGGTTCGGTGGCGAGCCCGTGTACCTGGTTCGGTGGCGAGCACCCATGTGTACCTGGCTCAGTGGCGAGCGCCCAGAGCTGCTTGACGTTGTCAATGTCCTTCTCCTGGGGCGCGTGCAGCACGATGGATATAGACCCCACCACACACAGCGTTGCTCCCAGCCACCCCAGCACGTGCAGCTTCTCATCCAGCAGCATGTGCGCTAGTATGGCGCTGTAGAGAAGGTGTGGGGGAGAGAGGATGGGGGAGAGAGGATGGGGGACAGAGGATGGGGGAGAGAGGATGGGGGAAATGGGCGGAGGGAAAGCAGGTGAGGCACCTCAAAAGCCACCCCAGCACGTGCAGCTTCTCGTCCAACAGTATGTGCGCTAGTATGGCGCTGTAGAGAAGGTGTGGGGGAGAGAGGATGGAGGAGAGAGGATGGGGGAGAGAGGATGGGGGAGAGAGGATGGGGGAGAGAGGATGGGGGAAATGGGCGGAGGGAAAGCAGGTGAGGCACCTCAAAAGCCACCCCAGCACGTGCAGCTTCTCGTCCAACAGTATGTGCGCTAGTATGGCGCTGTAGAGAAGGTGTGGGTGAGAGAGGATGGGGGAGAGAGGATGGGGGAAATGGGCGGAGGGAAAGCAGGTGAGGCACCTCAAAAGTCACCCCAGCACGTGCAGCTTCTCGTCCAACAGTATGTGCGCTAGTATGGCGCTGGGAGGCGGTGTGGAGGGGGAAAAAGCAGGAGGAGACGTGAGGGAAGTGGGGGGAAGGGAATTTGAGGAGCGTGAACAGCCACCCCAGCACGTGCAGTTCCCATCCTGCAGCATGCGTGCTAGTATGGCGCTGCCACGGAAGGGATGGTGGGGAAAAGAGGGCAGCGAGGAAGGTGACGAAATGCAAGTGGATACCACTGCATGCAATTCCCATGGCTTTGTCCTCCCACGGATGGGTGGGAAGGAATATGGAAAAGAGGTCTGCCTGCCAAGCAGTGTGAACGAGCACACCCACCTGATGATGATGCTGAGAGCACCCAGTGGTGTGACGAGGATGGCTGGTGCAAAGGCATATGCTGCAAAGTTGGCAAACTCTCCCAACACCACTGGCGGATAGGGGCATGGGCGGATGGGTACATGGGGGCATGGATGCATGGGAGTATGGGCACATGGGATGGGAACACGAGCGCATGGGTGCATGGGTGCATGGGAGCATGGGAGCATGGGAGCATGGGTGCATGGGTGCATGGGGCATGGGTGCATGGGGGCATGGGAGCGAAAATTGTGCAAGGAAAATAACGAAGGCAGTGGCAGAGGGGCGAAGATCAGGGTGGAAGGACACAGGAGCGAGGATGAGGGGTGAAATTTAACATGAGAGGGCGCAAGGGGCAAGGGCAGTGCAAGGGGGAATAACCAGGGATGCAGGAAAGGGCATTGTGAGGAATGGAGAAAATCAGACAGCGAGAGAGAGGAGAGGAGGAGGAGGAGGAGGAGGAGGAGGAGGAGGAGGAGGAGGAGGAGGAGGAGGAGGAGGAGGAGGAGGAGAGAGGGAGGAGGGGGTGTGAGAGGAGGAGGCAGGGAACTCACTGGATATCATTCCGACCCACCACAGTGGCTCCTTTAGATATGAATGGCCTCCCATGCCTGCACATGCATGCACACACATGCACATGCACAAACATGCACATGCCGGCACATGCAACATGCACATGCACATGCACATGCACATGCACACACATGCACATCCACATGCACATGCACATGCACATGCACATGCACACACACATGCACACACACATGCACATCACCAAGCATGCATGCACTATTCTTGCATGGGTGCATCACAATTCATCCATGCACGCACCATGCAATCATGCACCACCATCCATGCAGCACCAAGTGCGTCAGCGCACGCTAAAGCGGTGCACAGCAACTATCACCCACCGCCTTTCACACCCACCAGCAATCACATGCAACAGCCGTCCCACGGTCCCACCCATTGCTCATCCCACCCACCACCCACCAGAAGACCCAACCACCAGCCGTCCCACCCGCCACCCACCAGCTGTCCCACCCACCAGAAGACCCACCCATCAGCCGTCCCACCCACCGCTCGTCCCCACCCAAGCAAGCGTCCCACGCACCGGCTCTGATACCCGAGACGGCGGACATGCGGAGGGCCTTCTTCTTCACGATGAAGCTGCCGCCGATGAACACGCTCGACGTCACCGCCAGCACCAGTCCCTTGGTGCGATCGTCCATCGCGCCGGACTTTCCTGTCCCCCCCTGATCCCCCTGCGAACGCTTACCAACTCCCACTATCCTCCGCGATACCAACCCCCTTTAGCCTCGGCGATAAAACAGCTTTTCAGCCTCGGAGTTTCTACACCCACCCCCTCTAGCCTCCGCTATTCTCCAATACTACCTCTCCTACTTCGGCTTCTCCACCCAAAACTAAATTTGCAGTAGCTGGTGTCGGGATCGAATCTGGATCGAAACAAGTGTCGTTTTCGCAGTCGATTGTGCCCGAATGGAGCCGAGAGTGTCTTCCCGCAACAATTACTGCTTAGTTCGAGTCGAGGACCTACTTCGCAGAAGTTGCGGTGAAATCGTCACGGCTGGCGACTTTCTCGACGGCTCAGAGCCCTGTCAGCCTGGGCGGCAGCGACACACAGAGACATCGCAGACTGCCAGGGTTGCTCTACGAGTAGATCGCAGAGCAGGCTCATCAAAGAGGAGTTTGGCAGGGACGATACGTCAGACAGCAGCTTCTCGCGAAATCATACGGGAGGAACTTAATGCCAGTCAAGTTCTGAACCACACCCAGGATCGGCAAAATCGAGGAGTGGAGTCACCTTGACAACAGCTAGGAAAGCCAAGACGGGAAGTGTGCAAAGCAACCTTGGGAGCAGCGATGACTGTGCAGGTTATGGCAGGGCTGAACCAAACAAGCCTAGCCCCTTGTTGCGGAGAAGACTCGGAGGACTTCGGTTGGGTTCCAACCACGTATGAAGAAAAGGGGGCTTTTCGCGACACCGTGGTTGCTAACCGCGAACAGTTCGCCGACAAAACACTGAACACAAGCCCGACATTGCTGGTTGTGTGAGGTGTTCGAACGTACACCACACTGCACCGCACCCGAAGCTTACATGAAGCCTCTGTACAGGGTTAGGGACCACAACGGCACTATAATCTATAAAATCAGTCCAACTACCATCACTATACCAGTAGGCAGCCCATTACAGCGGCAAAAAATATATGTTCCACTATGTACCATATTATTCAAGCCAAAAAAGAACTTCTACAAGGTACGCATACCACAAAGCATTCTGCATGTGGTGTCAGTTAAAGGCAAGATCCTACAAGAAGTCCCTCTCAGGCAGTCTTGGAGAGTCAATCTCTCTGCAGAGGGCTGCGAGCCCGAAAATGCAGAACGGTTAGAAGCAGATTGAATGACCCGAAGTCATTACAACAGCTGAAGCAGACCTCCCGATCTCTCCTCTTTCTGCTGCTGCTGTTGCTCTTGGTGTTCCTGCTGCTGCTGCTGTTGCTGTTGCTGCTGGCGTTTGCTGCTCCTGCTGTCATCTGAAGCAGCAGCAGAGCATGCAGCCATAGGAGGAGGTCCATCCAGCACATCTGCAGCACTTGGAGAGCCCATGGATACCCACTCACCTCCCAGTCCCACTCCTGCATCACATGAAAGCAAAGAAAAATACGTCAGCTAACCAGTCGGCCACAGAAAAACGTTAGGGCCTAGAGGCACTAACGTTTCTGCAAGCGAACAGAATTCTATGGGAACACTGAATGTCAGATAAAGAACTGCAGATGTTACCGGCGAATGCAACGCTTGTATCGTGATAACGAATTGAGATTGAACCGAAGGGAAGTGGCGGCTCACAGAGGGCGGAAAGAAACGAAGAAGGGGGCAAATCGCAAGCGCACTAGCAGAAGGGGGTGTTGGAAACCGCACCCGGCGCAAAATCCGTGCGGGGGAGGGAAACTCCCGCTGCGCGCGGCACAAATCTCGCAGCCGCGGAAATCGGCGAGTGCACCAGCTTCGGCCGCCGCGCAACCGGTGCAACCAGCGGCGGGCTGCCGCAGGGGCTCGTCTCCTCAGGGCTGCGACTCGTCTTCGTCCCGCTCGTTCCGCTCGTGACGGGCGACAGGCACCCCGACGGGCTCTGCGCCTGGCACACCGTCGATCCGGACAGGCGCGGCGGGGCGAGCAGGCCCGCTTTCGCGAACGGCTGCGGTTGGAACGCCGCGGGGATGGGGATTGCAAACGCGCTGCTTCCCCCGGCCGCCTCCCACATGCCCCCCACTGGAGTCGGGCCGTTGAGCATCGCTGCGCCGCCTCCGCCCCCCGCGCCCGCGCCTATTCCGCCGTAACTTGCCGCCCAGGCGCCTCCGCCGAACCCCATGTGCGCGGGGGACTTGGCGGAGAGCCCCGCGCCACCTGGTCCGCCGCCACCCGGGGCGGCTGCGCCTCTGCTCGTGAGTCGCGCTCCCGCGCACGACCCGGCGGAGCGGGGATCCGCGGCGGTGGTGGTCGGGGGACAGAAAGCACGCGCGCCGAGCGCAGGGGATACTCCCGCGCAGTTGGCTTGCTCTTGCTCCTGCGCTTGCGCTTGTTCCGACTGCTGATGCTGCTGTTGGTCCTGAGATTGCTGTGCGTTAGCATCTTGCTGCTGACTCTGCTGCTGTTGGTGTTGCTGCTGTTGCGCCGATTGCGCCGCGGCATGCGCATGCGCGGGCTGCGCGTAATGCTGCTGGTACAGCGCCCGTTGATACGCCGCGGCAGCCGCCGCCGCCGCCTCAGCAGCAGAACCCCCCGGCTGGCCCGCCGCCATGTACGGAGACTGACCCATACCTGCCACCTGGCCGCACACCACTGGCTGCATCCCGGCCATCGTCATCCCGTGCATCATCCCCGGCGCAGGCGGCGCGACCGCAGCTCCGATCATCCCGGGGGCCAATCCGGGCGCCGTGGCTCCGGGCGGGGCGGCAAGTCCCGGAAACGGCGGCGGGCCCGGCGCGGCGGAAGGCCAGTACGCCATGGCGGCGGCGGGCTGCATCATATCCATGGCGGCCGCCGTTGCCGCTGCCGCCGACCCCATGGCGACGTTCCCCATGGTCTGCTGGTACATGGCCGCGCTTGCCGGTTGGTACATAGATTGAGCCGCGTACATGTGCTGTAGATGCATCATCTGCTGCTGCTGTTGTTGCTGCTGTTGCTGCTGCTGTTGTTGCTGTTGCTGTTGCTGCTGCTGCAATTGCTGGACGTGGCTGGGGTGCATTCCGAACGGCACCATCGACGATCCCGCCGACGCCGCCGTCGCGCCCGGAAGCGCCGGAAGCGGCGACGCGGAGATCCCAAGGCGGTGGTTTGCCATCCCGGCAGCGCCAGCGACGGGGAGCGGAGGGGAGGACGCGCCTGCGCCGGCGACGGCGGTGGTTCCGGAGGTCGTTCCGGACGTGGCGGGCGCGGACGCGGGCGTGGGGACCATAACGACGGACCCAGACGAAGGCAGCGTCACTCCCGCGGAGGGCAGCGCGGACGACTGCGGAGGCGCTGCCGCAGCGCCGGGTGTGACGCTTCCAGTCGCGCCGGGATTGGCGCCGGCGCCGGCGCCGGCGGTGGCGGTGGCGTTGGCGTTGGCGTTGGCGTTGGGGTGGATGGAGCCGCCGCGAAGGACGGTATCGACGGCGGATTCGCAGAGGTGCCATTGGCCCGTCCAGAGCAGCCCCGCGCAGCCGAAGACCGGGTTGATGGTTCGCCCGCACGCCTCGAACAGCAGCGACTGGAATAGCGCTGCCGGGCGGAGCGGGGAATGCGGAGAGGCGGAGATAGGGAATGGGGCAATGACAGGCACAATTAAGGATTTCGTGATAATTGTGAGCGGAAACGAGGGACTTTATGTAAGTATGAGAACTTGGGAGTAGATCTCACGGTATTTAAGAAAATGCAGATTCGAGCTACTAGCGGGAACTTAGAGCGAGCAATTCAGTGGTGATGCGAGACGGAGAGCAGGAGCAGGAATGCCGGAGGCCACGTCACTGAACTATCTAGTCGCAAGGCCGGAAATCGCGCCGCTTGGCACAAACACGGGAAGACAGCGGCCAATTGGGTACCTGGGCGTTGACTTTCATCAACGGCCGTGACAAAGCCCATGAGGCCCGCGCGGCCGAAGAACTTGGCGAGGAAGAGCGTCGCATGGCCCTGCGCCTCCGCGCCCTCGATCCCCCCCAGGCAATGGCGCAACACGCAGCTCTCGCTGCATCCCTTCCGCAGGACCCTACATCCGTTGCAACTCATTCTTTGCTTCCGAATCTAGATCGCACGAGCAGCGCTGCTAGTGTTAATCAGGCAATGCGATCGTGTGAGCGAATAAAGGCCGTGGCTTTTCGTTTGTTAGTTGGCCATCCGAGGGTGAGGGTTTTGCGGAGGCCAGTCAGATAGTTGAACAAGCCGAGTTACACTCTGTTGCACGACGACGGGTGCGGAACTGCAGTAGGAAGCAGTCAAGCATCAATGATCAAGAGAGACTCTAATGATCAGCTACACGTTCATGAACAGGCCTCCACTGCGGTTCTGCTCACGGCAACCACCAACATCCGAGCCAAGCCAAGCGCCGCCAAGCGGGTACTCTGGCTGGGGTGGGGTAGCGCGGATAGGGGGCCAACCCAGTTTCTCTCAGTGTGTATGAAGATAGAGATGAGACGGGACGTTTCTGAAGGTCGCGCGCGAGATAGGAAACGCGACCAGCGCAAAGAGTGACCAACCACGCTAGAGCAACACCACTACACTACCGCACCAAGCCCCTTTTCTCATCTCACAGCTCCGGTTCTGGCAGGCAGGCATAGGCAGGCTGGCCTGGTTGGACTCGGATCTGCTTGGATGCCACGAGACGCGCGGCGAGGAGAATTAGAGGGGAGGGAGAGGGGGAGGAGTGCTGCTGTTGCTGCCCCCTGTGATTTCTCACGGGAGGCGACAGCACCGCAACATGGCCTCTGAACAGTGGTAACATGACACGTTTCTGTCCAGTCACTTGCAGCAAGAGTGACGCACTCGCACGCGTGATCACATCACCGTCTCCGGCACACTTGCGTCATCAGCAAATCTATACCGTCAGTTCTTGTTCGTTTGTGCGATAAGGCCTTATCCTGAACGTCACAGACGACGTTGCTGACGTAGCAGCGCTCTTTTCCTCCGTCGGATTTGGATGGGGAAGGATGACGAAGAGCGAGAAAACAGCGTCCTGATTGGCTGAACACCCTCAGGAAGATCGCCACTTTCGGCTCGCTTTCCGAGTGTTTGGCGAGGGTTGCTCAGCTCATTCGCCCGGCAGAGAGCCATTACCCAATATTTCTGGAGGGTTCTGAGGTCCCCAAGCGGTGGAAGGCGGGAAAACACACTTGGCGGCTTCTAACCGCGTATCGTGGTTGGAATGGTTGATGTGGGCTGGCTGCCGCCACACGCAAGCCTGAGCCAGGCTGTACACGAGCCAGGTAGGATGAATGGCACGTCATCCTCTCGGCTCAAAGCTCCTTGGAAGGCTGTGGTAGGTTAGGGATTCCAGACCTCAGGTACGGGAAATCCTCAGCCGTTTCGACTTGGCTCCACAAGGTGCAAGGAGGCAGAATTGAGGTGGTTCTGGAATTAGGTACACGCATTTCGCCTAGGACAGCGAGTTGCTGAAGTGATGTACACCACCACATAGGGGAAAGTCACATAATGGAACTCCACCTTCAAAGCATACTAAATGTGAAGGTAATGCATTTTGAATGACAAACGGTCAGCTTCTTTGATTACTCTGCCCCTATGCGATGAGAATGTGCCACTTGGTCGGACCAGGTAGCTTGCAATAACAGAAGAATAGCTATATGGCCCCTAGCAAAGGGAGCAGCTGTTGGAGTTTGCAACATTAAAACCTGAGTACAGCATGGTAATTTTCAAGTTCAAGATTCTTTAACTTGAAATCGCCACAAACAGGGTTACATTTTAACACTGCAGTTGAAAGCTGCGCATCTTCTGCTTGCAAAGCTCAAGGTGAAGCATGAGATTTATCCGTCTGGACCTTCACACTGGCTCGTTTTGTTCAATAGTGATGTCTGCCTATCGCGAGCATTCTCTGTCTTACCGCGTCATTCTCTCTTGGCTGGCAAGGTCCATCGCTGATGTGGCGGATCTGTTCAGGCCCTTTGTGTTCACAAACACGGTGCTTGCTTTGCTTAATTACAAGCTTCCACGTGGTCTCCAAATGTTCCAGAACTCAGAAAATGCTAGAAATCCAGCTAGCGATATTTTGAAGAACCACTTTGTAGCAGATGATGCAGGGAGCTGATTGCCTGTAACAACCAAACAAAAGTTCTGAGGAAAGCATTAAATGGACTTTTTTTTCAGATGAGGAAAGAAACGCAAGCAGTCGCACGCACCTGGTCGATGGCATATGAAGGCAGCAAATGCACCAAGAGAGCAGTGAGTAGTCCAAGCAACAGCCATCCAAACCTGGGACAATGGGAACAAAATTATTGGTGCGGCACATGGCGAGGGCAGAAAGCAGCAAAAACAAGAGTGTGGAAAGGCTGAATTGGCAAGTCTGCCTTTATGTAAGCTGACAGTTGAGATACAGAAAAACAAGACATAACTTTGAAACGCCCAAGATGGTACAAATTGCAAAAACCAGGCCGTTCCATCGGTTGGAACTCACCTGCAGTAGCAAAATGACCTCATTAGACAAGAAATCACTCGATCCCTTCCCCAAAGCCAGCGCTGTTACAGCGAGCATGCCAGCTGAGATCACAGCTTGACTTGGCGTGAGATCCAAGGGAAGACCAGCAGAGGTAGGTGGAATTCCAGTAGCGGAATGCTCAGCTGCTTTGTCATCCACATCACTTCCAGCCTTAGCATAGACTGAGCCACCATTGCTGTTGCTTTCCGGATCCACCCCTCTCATTTCATCGTCAGCCTGCTTGCTCCCCTCCCCATCTATATGGTCTGATCCCTCCCCACCACCTGACCCTTCAGCCTTCCGAGCCTGAGATTTAGCAATGGTCCGTGCCTTGGCTCGGGCTCGAGCCTGAGCCAGCAGGGCTTCGGGGGGCGTGGAGGAAGAAAAGGCAAGGTCGAACTCCCTGCGACCAGCCATCAGGTCCTCTCTACCTGGGAAATGTAGGAAAATTACGAATTGAAAATTCTCCAACACGTGTGAAATTGACAGGATCAGCCAAATGTGAAATTGACTAAATAATTTATCACTGTGTTGTCAATTGCCACCAAGTCACCTTTATAATTCACATGTGTCAGTCATTCATATCACTTACCTGTCAGATTCACGAATCCAGAGCCCGCAGCCTTGTCCTTAGGAGGAGGTGGGCCGAACCCTCGCTTCTTGTCATCCCTTGTCGCCATACCTGCAGCCATGAAAGAAGATCCGAGATTAATGTCCATGAAACCTTCCTTTCTAAGCTAATAGCCTTGCATTTGACAAAAACACCGGCAACGATTACTAACTGGATACTGACGAGGCGTCCTACGAGCCCACCAATCAAAAGCCGGACTTTGTCCATGCTGTCGCCTCCTCCCCCACCTCCCCCTCCGCCTCCGCCTGATCCGCCAACAGCAGCGCATGCCTCCCTCCACCGCGCGCTCCTCCACGATGCGCCTTTCCACGTCCCCCTACCTCCGCCGCTGCTACTGTTCCGCGCATCGCTCCGACCTCTGCTGCAGGTGCTGAAGCTAGAAAGCTTGATCGGTTTTCTTCTATTGCGATTGGAAGTGCATGGTGATCGTTCTGTCACTCCGAATTGAAGTACTAAAAACGCATTTGCTGCTGCAGCCAAGGCCGACATGGATTATATGTGCGCCGATATTCGCTTGGCTGAATTGAGGTCGCGACGTGCCTGCCGACGGTAAGAGGTCACGCGGAGTAGGTTCGCACATAAATTACAAACGACATTCCCTCGGACAATAGAGATTCGGGAGAAGTCATGAAAATGACACGAACCATATAGAGTTCATGAGGCGTTCAGAGCAGACGTGTATCGGTTGCAGACAGCCGGCCGGAAAGTCCGCTTCGAGAGGTTCGGGAGAGTAGAAGGTAGTAGAAAGGTATAAGGTAACGCAGCCGAAATGTTCATTTCAAGTAGACCCGAACACAATGTGGAGTAGCTGACCATCAAGGCAACATACACGTAACGGTACATGAAAATAAATGAACACTGGACAGTAGTGAAGAATTCCAAGCAAGGAGGAGACTGTTGATTTAGAACACAAAATTCAATTTCTTAAGACTGTACAATCAACTCAGTAAAAGCATGGTCAGCCATGCAAAATCCTACTAGGTTACATTCACTCAGCCCACCAAAACAACAGCCCAATCCCCACACTGACATGTCACAACCGCAGGGAGAGGTCAAGGGTCTTGGTCTTCCATGCATCCCGGCCCTGCTCTCCTGCTATAAAACCGGAAACTCGATCGCTGCTGGGATCAGCAGCGGAATGACAACAGCCGCCACCATTAAGGGAAGCCGGCACATGCCAAGGCGTGTCCAGGGGAAAGTTCTGAAGGGTGTTGTCTGTGGTGGTAAAACACGATGCTGCTGCTGCTGGTGCTGCTGGTGGTGCTGATGCTGCTGGTACTGCTAAGGCCAGAGCTGCTTTGTCTGCACTCTGAGAAGGACCCTGAACATGCAAATTGTTGATTTCATAGTTTGTGTCGTCCATTGAGGTATGATGAGATGCTGCACTGCCATGCAGCTTCTTCTGCTGTGGTTGTGCGTGAAAGCTGTTGTCTGCTTGTGATGACGTGCCTAGATCAGCTATGGGTTGAGTTGCCAGTTGCTGGTGCTGCTGCTGCTGCTGCTGCTGTTGGTGCTGGTGCTGTTGTGTTACAAGCGGCTGTTGCTTTTGTTGATGCTCTTGTAACACCAATTGTTGATGTTGTTCCTGCTGCTGCTGCTGTTGTTGCGCAGCAGAAGCTTGCTGCAGCAGGTGCATGCGAGCAGCAGTGGCAGCAGCCACGGCGGCAGCAGCGGAGTTACTCTCCAGCCGCCTCAGTAGCGCAGACGCACCATCCGCAGCCGCCACCGCGGAAGGGGGAGCGCAGGGCGGGCTGAGCAGAGACGAAAGTTGCGGGGAGAGCGCGAGGAACGCGCGGAGGGCAGGCGACGCGCACCCAGACGCCGCGTACGACGCCAGCAGCTCGGACGCCGACGCGCCTGCTGGCTGCCTTCCCACTCCAACCGGATTGCTCCCCACCCCCGATGGTACAAACACACCCCCTCCTGGTGCTGCTGACGTGCCCGCTCCTCCTGCTGACGTGGCTCCTGTTGCTTCTCTTGCTGCTCCTGTTGCTGCTGCTGCTGCTGCTGCTGCTGCTGCTGCTGCTGCTGCTGCTGACGGACCGTCTCTAGCTGCTGCTAACGCCGACGCCAGCGCGGTATTTAGGCCTCCGTGCACCGACGAATCCCCACCGTTCGCGCTCTCATTCGCACCGTCGCATCTCGACAGATGTGCACCGCATTTACTACCGCTAGCCTTGGATTGGTCGTCCCTCGCCCATACGTCACGCTCCTCCTTCACGCTCGCCGCCCTCGCAGCCGGCTCCCGCGGCGGATTTTGCGGAGCTCCCGCCGCGACCGACAGACTGTTACCACTCGACGCGGGAAGCGCGACGGGGCGAGCCGCCCTCCGCCTCCTGATCACGCCGCTGTCGCCGCCGCCGCTGATCATGCTTCCGCTAACAGCCGCGCTGACGCTGTTGGTCCTTCCGCTGGTGGTAGACGACGGCGCGAGGCGGCGTTTCTTGCGGCACGGCACGGAGAAGTAGATGCACATCCAGGAGCAACACGGTGGGGGGAGGTCCAGAGACAGGTCACCGCGCGCCGATTTCTGAATATCCTGCACGAGAGTCGCCGATGAGAACTTGCTTGGGACGGGCGGCGCCGGGTTGGATCGGCCAGATCTTGTAGTCGCGGGGTGGCTACTATCGCGGATATTGGCGGTGCAGGCCGTGCTGCTGCTCAGGCTGGGTAGCAGCTGATGCGACGGGCTCTCGCATCGAGGCCTTTTCGCCGAACCATCGCCCACTTCCGGTGCCGCGTCTCCGCGCGACTTCTCGCCAAACGGGTTACCCGTCGGTCGGCGAAGGGCGGTAACGGGTCTGTGCAGATCGTTGGTGAGCGAGGAGCCTGGCAGAGACCCTTTGGCAGTTCCTGCTGTCGCTGGCGGCGGCATCATCACGTTGGACCATTCGGCCACCGACGCCATTAACGAGGACGCCAATGACGGGGCTCGGCCCGCCGACGGCAGTTTCTGCTGTGCTGAGGGAAGGAGCGGATGGGGTGTTACGGATACGACGGAGTAGTCGACGCACGACCTGGTCGTTGGCTCAGCGCTTCGATGGTCCCCATGGCGACTCGTACCCACGGGACCCGCTGCAGCGGTATTAGTGGGTGGGAAGGCGGGGGCCGACTCGGATGCAGGGACCGTTGCCGCGGAAGGTCTGTCAGCGGAAGGTTCTGCGCGGGGTCGAAAGAAATCGACCTCCTGGACGCATCGCCGATCTACGTGCTTCGGCTGTTGCTGCTGCTGTGATGAGGGGAGAGCATTGGACGACGACGGCGGCATGGTTGAGAGAGATAAAGGAAGCGCGTGATCCTCATCGCTTGATTGCATCGACGCGTCGACGAGGAAGGAGGAGCTAATGGATTTGGACGGCTGCAGATCAGGCAGCAGGAACGACGGAATACTGACAGGAAAAGAGAAAGAGGTATCTGACGCACCACACATTTCTGAAATTGACGCTGAAACACACGAAACCCGATAGGTGGTAAAGATGCACAGGCAATCTAGAAGAGTAAGAATGGAGACACCAACTAAGCAGAACAAGACGACTGGAGGAAACTAGGGCTATCCGTGAAATGCTGCAGTCTCGATTGTTGGCGGAGTGGATGATGCCACGCGGGCGGGGCGGGCGAGGGCAGCGGAAGGAGTGAGGGTGAGGGCGACCGTGCGCGGACCGTTGGATCCAAACAGCGAATTCCCGCGGGCTGTACAGGCGTGCAGTCGGTGGAAACGATGACAGGTGGATGAACGGGAAAAATCGAGGCGGCCACAACTCCGCCAAGCAGCATCCCTGCTTGCCAGCTAACTTGGCTGCCAGCTTGCCTTGCGCACGCGTCTGGGGCCTGAAGAAGTGAGTGATTTGCGCAATGGAGGCAGGCAATGGGGGATTGGCGGTGTACCGCACAGCGTAACAAGGAGCCGCAGAGGAGATTGCGGAAGGGAAATCTTGAGGAGTACGAGTGGGAGACAAGGTGGAGATTGGGCGAGAAGATTCGGCAGAGTGATGCCCCTTCTTTCCTGAGTTCCTGACCTTCTACCCCAAGGCCTACAGCACGCCTGGATTGGTTGGCTGGCACAATGCCAAACTGCAGATTGGATATTCGTTTCCAAACGGGCAAAACGACAGGTTCAGCAGGTAGTTTTGTTGACGCAGTTGAAGCACGCCGACGAGGCCAACACAAACCGACGAAGATTTGACAATGCAAGTCCCAAGAAGGGATCTTCGATTGGATGTTGGTCACAGCATGACAGGCAGCGCCGGTGCTGCTGACGTCGTCAGATCCGACTGGCAATTTAATCTCATCGCGCAAACTACTGTACCTACCCTGCACATCAAGACAAAGGTGTCAATCTCCCTAGGCTGCCCAAAGCCGACATCAACCGAGACACGCCAACACAACTCAGGATTGAGTGTTCGAAGTTCGAACATAGATTGAATCCAGACGACGAACAAGAGCTACAATAATGTATATTCGTCAAACGCGGCGGCACAAAAAAAAATATTGAAGCCAAAAACAGCAGAAGCAGCAGCAGCAGCAGCAGAACCATGCATACACATGCCACGAAACAGTGGGATGGTTTGGGATGGATTGGGACTGGGTGGGAAGGGAAGCATGAAGCAACGCACACAGTGTTGTTCGGTGCTTGAACGAACGTTGATTTCACAAGATATCAACCAACAAATCACGAGGATATCGCATCGTGAAAGATATACGATCCACGAAGGCCACAGGCGCTTCTGTTTGTGCACGCAATCCCATCAAAATGGTCAGTCCGGCGTCCGTCGAGTTGACAGTGAAAGACGTCAGCGAGACGGACAAAACAGGTACACCAATAAGGACGATACAATGGTGTTCGAACAAAGAACCAGCCTTCAAACTCGTCATATTATACTAGCATATCAATGGTCGTTTTTTGGTTTCCTACTCTCTTTCTCGTCAATTCCGGACATGGAAAATCTTCTGCGTAGCTGAGAGGCAACATCTTCCATCTTGACACCCTGAAATTGCAATTCACACTAGTGATATGAGGTTGAAACCCTGATTCAAGAATTGAGACTTTGAAAGCTTCACATATCGTACCTTGACGGCAAGTAGAACCATAGAATGGTAAACGACGTCTGCCATCTCAGAAGCAGCTCTTTCACCCGCCTCATTCCCTTCCAAGGTCTGGCACAACTCATCCGCCTCCTCCCTGACAACAAAGAGACTTGTTAGATCCAGGCTACAATGTTAACAACATATTTCGCTTTCAGTGAAAAGCATAAGACGAAGTGAAAGAGACATACCTGATTTTGGAACAAAGAAGTGAGTGATTTGAAAGCAAGCGTGCAGTCCACGATGGCTTTAATCGCGCTTCTCCTGGTTTCTGCTGCTCCTGCTGCTGCTGTTCCTGCTCCATCTGCCGTCTACGGGACGCAATGACTTCCTCTAGTTGAAAAAGCGTGCTCTGGGCACAAGAAACATCCTCATTAGAGGCAGACATGTTCTTAGCTACTGAATCACTGGACAGGTCCAATTTCGTGAAGAAGCATGTGTCAGTGCCTGTATGGCAAGTGGGCCCGTCAGGTATACCACGGTAGATGATCTGCACCAATCAGGACAAGAAATACATGGGGCTATTGGTTCCATTGGAGAACAAGGAGAAACGAGGAGAAACGGCAGAAACAACGACCCCAATGGTTGGTACTGAATATGAGCTCATGCTGAGGTCCATGTATCTATCGCAGTCAATAGACGCATTAGTGAAGTGCAAGCAGGACTGCAGTTGGCTTCTTCTCTTTTTGTGGTTACGGCTTACCCGCAACTCAACCTGTCACTCTCTAAGTGTTTGAGTACGGTGATCCAGTTTCTTGAGTGTCATATACGTGGCCATTGCTTGAGTTCAGTTGAGGTACCTTCCAACACTCACCGTGTCCCTGTCGCAGTCAATGAACATGTCGAGCACATGGATGAAGTGCCCTGATGTCTCGCCCTTGGTCCACAGGCACTGCCGCGACCGGCTGAAGAACGTGGCGCGGTCCGACGCCAGCGTGGCCGACACGGCATCCCGATTCGCGAATCCCTGCAAGGATGACGTGGCAGCACAGCATGGAATTTGGTGAGATGCATGTAGCTCCGATCGCTCATATTTTGTAAAAAAAAAACAGAAATGGGGCGCACACTGGCTAGTGCTACTTTTGAGGTAGTTGATTGATGCACCATGAATATCACACACATGATGCAATTCTCCTGCTAATGTTTCACCAGCATGATCATGTCTCTCCTGGTGAAGGTCCCACCCAGCTGCATCCCACCCACCTATATGAGGACCCACCCACCTGCATGGGGACAGTTTGAGATGCCTCAGAACCGACCATCTTTCACCTGCCCACCTGCATAAGGATGGCGCCAGTGTCAGCATGCTGGGCGATGGCCACTACGAGGCCCTTCTCGTCCCACTTGATGCTGTCCAGCAACGCCTCCACCTGTCGCCCATTCGCCACACCATGCCATGCCATGCCATGCCATGCCATCCATGCGCGGTACCATGTCATCGGTGTGTCAGACACCTCACATTTGGTTAAGAAAAAACAAGATGTATGCTGGGTCGAGGACATGCGATTGGAATGCTAAATGAGTTGCTCACTAGCCGTGGGTTTCACTCAGTGAAGTCCGCATGCTGCTTCCTTGCTGTGGGTGTGGTTTATGCCTGTCACTGCTTGTACCTCAGGTGTGGAGACGGGTTCAGCACGGTGCAGAGCAGTGGTGGCTTGGGCAACGGTGATTGGCAGATGACGTGGCAGGGCAGATGGCGACATGTGCTGAGAAGGCGAAAGGGATTTCAAAGGCAAACGAATTTGGAAATTGAGGATTGAGAGTGGGAGCAAGATGGACGTCCGATGAATGTATGGTGATGCGATGACATTAATTGATGGTGGTCTGTTGAAAACAAGACAAGATAAAATGACAGAGAATGAGTCAACCATAATGCGAGGAACGGCTGGAGGATCTGAAGCCTGCTTGAAGCACACTGGTAAGCTTCCGCGCGTCGGGACATGAGTCTGCATCCACGTCCCCTACGTTTGCCTGATCACGCCCGCCGCTAGATTGCCATAGTCGTGTCTGTAACCGCGTTTTCCAAGTCCTATCTGTACCACGTCTGTGTAGTTGCGAATGTGACCGCATTCGTCTAATCGCTTCTGTAACTGCAGTGGCGTAGTCGTGTCTGTAACCACAACTGTCCAGTACGGTTTGCCTGGCGATCGCTAATTCATGTGAGGGCCGCGATACAACGACGCACAGGAGTTGGGAATCCTCGCAGCAGGCCCCTCCTGCACGACGCATCCGCCATCGCGAGTCGAACGCGGCGCCCGGGTCGGTGAGGCGCACGGTGCGCTGCCGCGAACTGTGAAGGGCGAACAATGTGGGGGCGAAAGAAACAACGAGCAGAGCGCGACGAGTGCTGAGCGAGAAAGACGAATGTAGGCAGGGTGGCAGGGTTAGGCGTAGTTTCGGACTTTATTCATGCATCGGAAAAAAAAAATTAGGGCATTGATTCCTAAATTCCAGATGCTCACAGGGATGCTGGCAGACGGGAGGCGAACCACCGAGGCCATCGTCGTGATTGCAAAGCTCGCAGCCAGTCAGCCAAGACGCCCAGCGGTGATTTAGCCACGCTAAGCGCAGACTGCGGAAATGGCAGGATTCTACTATGCCAACCTAGTAGGTTTTTTTGGACGATGGCTGTTCGGCTTGAGCAGGATAGTGAAGGCAAAGGTCCGCCGCAATCCCCAAAAATATTCTCGTTAACACGCCTCTGGATATTGTACATAACATCCAACTGTAACCTTTTTTGGTAGGTGAAAATGCATTATACAACGTACAACGCAAAACACCGTCGGTCGTAACCGGAGCTAGAGGGCATAGGTAGTGTATACCGTACCCTCGCAGCTTTCTACGGGGGCTTATAGATCAAGAGCCTAAACATTTTAACCTGCCCGCATGGAGGCTTCTTGATATTGTTGCCATGCGTCAGCCCTAGTTGTTTCCTTCTGCCACCGTCTTTCCGTGTGCCTTGTTGGGTGTTGTCGAAGCAGTGTTGCCGAACGTGGTGATGCTCAGTTGTAACAACTCTTGCATTTTTTGAACGGTGGAGAGCGGTTTCAGCCTGTTAATTTATATTGCATATCTTATACCTGCCTACACCTTGCTAGTGTATTAGGTTGTTTATTAGAACCAACTGCTGGTGGTGTACCCTTTACCTTTTCCCTTTCTTGTCATTCCTATTGTCAGAGGTCCACTGGTGATCCCCGATCGATCCTAGGGAAGGGTTACAGGCATTGCGGCCTGGGGGGTTATGGGCGCACTCACCCGCTACACAAACAAGCCCTTTTATCCCAATGGTTAGTGGTTGGGATTCTGACATGGTATCAGAGCGAAGGTCTCGGGTTCGATTCCCGGTGTGTGCACTTCGGGCATCCCAGTGCGGGGGGGTGTCAGAGGTCCACTGGAGATCCCCGATGATCCTAGGGAAGGGTTACAGGCACGTCGGCCTGGGGGGTTATGGGCGCACTCACCCGCTATATAAACAAGCCCTTTTATCCCAGTGGTTAGTGACTGGGATTCTGACACCTATTTGTACTCCCAACTCCATATTGAAACCTCTCTTTTGGCCAGTCTTTCCTCTCGTTACTCTTGCTATGCCTAAACCTCCACGTCCTAAGTTCCTAGCCTAACTTAGGCATCTTGACATGTTATCAGAGTGTGGTCTTTTCTAGGACCTATTTTACATGGGCCCACCAACTCCGCCTTCTGCCATGGCGACCCCCTATGCTGCTTGCACGAAATCTGCTGCTGTTTCCGGAGCTTATGCTGAACCCGTCGCGCTGCCCCCCGTCGCCTTCAATTCGTCTGCCTCTTCGCGGCGCTTAGGGCGACGGTCGCGGCGGACATCATGGCGAGCGTCAGCGACCCGCCAGCGCGTTTGCGAATGCGCCAGCGACAGTCGTCAGCGGGAGCGCGAGCGCCACCCAGCGCCAGCGACCAGCGCCGACGCCAGCGCCAGCGCCGACGGCGGACGCCAGCGCCAGCGCCAACGGCGGAGGCCAGCGCCAGCGCCGACGCCAGCGCTTAGCGCCAACGGCATTCGCCAGCGCCAGCGCGGACGCCAGCGCCGACGACGGGCGCCAGCGCCAGCGCCAACGGCACGACGCCAGCTGTTAGAATCTGGCAGCAGGAATGATGAACTAACAGCATGCAGGAGTACAAGTAGGAAACCCTAATTTGGTTGTACCCCATATGGGCTACCCCACTACAGCCTAGACAATATGCAGCATACATGTTTGACACACCCCCATAGGCAAAGTGGGGGAGAACAAGGGGTCACACGACCAGTCAAGAGACGCAAAGCAAGCTCAGGGTGGATCTCAACGTCACCACACATTCTGAGCACAAGCAAAGGGCCGCAAGGCCAGTCCACATGCAGAGATATATATAAGCAACAAGAGCAGTACAGTGATCAATACCTAGCAAGAGCAAGCATGCAGGTATAAATATAGAACACAGTACACACAAAAGACTACAGCAAGTGTGGAAACGTAGGCACAAGGCCTAACAAAGTACAAAAGCGCTGATGATCACCAGACGGAAGTGCCTTGGTGAATATATCAGCAGTGTTGGCCCTAGTGGCCACGTGTGCAAGACAAAGCTGACCACGCTGCTGCAGCTCTCGAGCCAGAAAGTACCGCAGAGCGATGTGCTTCGTTCTGTGCTCCAGTCTGTGCTCCTCACACAAGGCAATAGCAGCCTTGTTGTCGACGTACAGCACTGGAGGAGAATGAGGCCGCTCTCCCAGGTCGGTCAGCAGGTAGGTGAGTCAGCGTAACTCCTGAGCAGCCATGGCGGTGGCGTAGATCTCAGCCTCACAACTGGAGCTGAGAACAGAAGACGAGCGAGTAGAACGCCAAGAAACAGAACCAGAGCCAAGGCTGAAAGTGTAACCCTGTGACGACCGCTGCGTAGCCTGGTCGTCAACCCAAGAAGCGTCTGAGTGCCCAGTGAGGACCACCTCTCGCCGTCCTCCAAGCACGAGCCCCATGCCCGATGTACTGCACAAGTAGCGCAGTACCCTCTTCGCAGCATCCCAGTGCACCTTTCGGTGCCGACCAGGAGCCACGTAGCGAGCAAGAAGGCCAAGAGGGTACGCAAGGTCAGGACGAGTGCAAGTCATCAGGTACATGAGGCAGCCCACTAGCTCTGGGTAAGGACCACTCGGCTCTACGGACTCATCCGAAGGCAGAGCTGAGAGCGAGTGACCTATAGCCAGAGGAGTGGCCTGTGCTGAGGACCAGGTGAAGCCGAAGCGCTGAAGGACCTGCTGCACCATGTGTGACTGAGTCAGTGTGATGGTGCGGCGTGCTCGGTCCCGGGTGATCTGCAAGCCAAGGTAGCTGCGCAGCTCACCCAGGTCTGTGCACGTGTGTCTCTTCTGCAGCTCCGACTTCACCAGGGCGAGGGCCTCAGTGTCAGCAGTAGCAAAGACCAAGTCGTCGACGTACACGAGGATATAGAACGGCGGCAGCGAAGTGTCGGTGCGTAGAAACAGTGAAGGGTCAGCAGTCGAAGGCGCAAACCCAAGAGCCGCAAGGGTAGTCCTCAGTGTGTCGTGCCACTCACGGGGTGCCTGGCGGAGACCGTAGACTGGCCGGCGGAGGCTCCACTGGGTACCAGGAGGAAACGTCCCAGTGAAGCCAGGTGGACGGCGCAGCCAGATCTCCTCGTGCAGGCTGCCCTGTAGGAAAGCTGTGCTGAAGTCAAGGGAGTGAAGCTCGTAGTCACGCTGTGCGGCAACGTGCAGCAGCACCCGAAGAGTAGTCATCTTCGGGGTAGGAGAGAAGGTCTGGAAGAAGTCAACTCCCTCTCGCTGACTGAAGCCTCGAGCAATGTAACGCGCCTTGAAGACAGGCGGAGAACCTGGCGGCCGCTTCACCCTGAAAATCCACATGCCATCGACGATGTTTGCCCCGGGAGGGGGAACCTCATCGACGTAAGTGCCTGTGGACTTCCAGGATGCCATCTCTGCGTCCATGGCTGCCTGCCACTGAGAGGAGTAGGGACCCGCGATCGCCTCAGCGTAAGAGCGCGGTGTGGGGATGTCTATAGCATCCGGGTCTCCCTCAGGGGCAAGCAGCATGGCCACGAGATGAGGCGCAGCGGCTGCAAGAGACTCAAGGTCCTCGTGCCTGTCCTCAAGGACGTCCGTGCTAAGAGCACACTCACCCCCGACGGACGGAGGACAGTCAGACTCAGACTCAGCAACAAGACTAGCAGCGTAGTCTAGACGACAGGCAGCAGCAAAGTCAACAAGCTCAGCGACTAAGGCAGACGCAGCAGCAGACTCAAACGACGGGTCAGTGACAACAGTGGCTAGCAGACACGTGACAGTAGGGTGCTCAGCACGAAACCGGTCAGACTCAGGGTCCGCAACGTCAGGCAGAGAGGACGCAGGGGGAGACGGAAGAGGAGTACGCTCCGGAGTAGGGGACCGACGCAGGGCTACAAGGCGTGTGCCGGGGACAGCCGGCTGACGCGGACGAGGAACACGACGACCGGTACGACTAGGACGAACAGGCGAGACTGGACGCGACATAGGCTCACAACACTCAGTAAGACTACCTGTCTGCTTAGTGTAAGGAGAAGGAGCAGGCAGCGGTGAGCCAGGCTGTAACGGAAGACCAGTAGACGACGGGAGAGTAAGAACCTGACGAAGAACAGAGTCAGGCGGCGGCAGAGACGACGGAGACGGCGGAGCGAAGAACAGGCATGGCGGCGCAGCTGCACCAGCACCAGCAGCTCCAGTACCTCCAGCAGCTCCAGAAGCTCCAGCAGCAGAACCGACACCTCCAGGCCCAGGGTCTCCAACCCCAGTGCCTCCAGCAGCAGCACCCCCAGAACCAGCACCTCCAGTCCCAGGGTCTCCAGCCTCCACGTCTCCAGCAGCAGCACCCCCAGAACCAGCACCTCCAGTCCCAGGGTCTCCAGCCTCGGTGTCTCCAGTAGCAGCACCTCCAGACGCAGCACCCCCAGCCCCAGCAGCTCCAGTACCTCCAGTACGAGCACCTCCGGGACCAGCGACTCCAGCACCTCCAGTAGACAAAGTACCAGCACCACTCCTAGCTCCAGGGACGTCAGCAGAAGTACCTCCAGCAGTAGAGCCCCGGGCTCCAGCAGCGCGACCCTGACGGCGACCGTACCAGTCGTGCAGCTGCTGTGAGGTGAGAGGCACACGTGGACGAAGGCGGCTACTCCAAGGAGACCGCGCAACAGCAGACTCAGAACCCTCAGCGCCAGCACCCTCAGCAGCTCCAGCGCCACCAGCACCAGGACCTCCAGCAGCTCCAGAACCTCCAGCGCTCGCACCCTCAGCAGCCCCAGAACCACCAGCTCCAGCGCCACCAGCACCAGGACCTCCAGCAGCTCCAGAACCTCCAGCGCCCGCACCCTCAGCAGCCCCAGAACCACTAGCTCCAGCACCTCCAGACCCCTCACACGCAGGCTCAGCACCTCCAGGCTCCACACTCTCAAGCTCCGCACCCCCAGGCTCAGCACCCCCAGCAGT